AAAAAGGCGTCCCAACTCCTCCTCTTTCGATTGACGAAAACCGCAGGTCGCTAGCTATTGCGGTTGTCGAGTTATTGAGCTTATACCCACCCCTATTTAATTCTGGCGCCGACAATACATATCGAATTGAAGCTAACTTAAAAATTTTCCTTCATCGATTGATGGTAAATGCAAGTTTATTCACATATTTTTCGAGAGTATCGACTTTCTTCGTTAGTGTAGTTTACATTGATAGCTTTGACAAGTTCATTTAGGCATTGTTTTTCTACTCTTTTCTTCGATACTGGTATGGGAGGGAATGAGGGTGTGGATGTGGGTGTGGAGTGTACGTGGTTGTATGTGTTGGTGTGGGTGTGTTTTAAGGTTTCATTTCACAGCACAGCCCACACCCACTCTTTGAAATAAACTTTTGAATTCAAACCATTCAGAAATTAACATTATAAGTCTATCCTAAGGAATGAATTTCTGAATGTTGTATATTTCTGATTGTTACACGAAGAGATCGTAATGTATGACGAATACGAAGTAAAGGAATAAGCAAATAAATTGATACATCATTAGATGTACCATTAAAAGTCATTTGTAGATGTGTACGATTTTTTGTAATTATAGACTTTGTTGCTAATTGTGAATAATTATTATGAAATAAAAGTACACTTAACATTAATGTTAATGGTGTATGTACTAAAATTTGTTGACTAAATTTATGTGTATCAGATGTATTTATTTCATCTTGTTCAAGAACAAGTGATTGAATTATACGAAACAAAACGAGTTTTGTTAATTTTGATAATTTTTCATGAACAACTTCTAATTTAGATGATGATTCAGTTGAATAAAATGTTCAAGAATGAAGATTTATAAAATCATGTGGATGAAAAACTTATACAATAACATTTGTTTGATCACAAATTTCATCATAAATTTTTAGTGAAATAACTTGATCAGAATGAAATTTCAAATTATTAGATAAAAATTGAACTTGATAATGATAATGAGTAGATTGAATGTTCACATAAAGATTTATTAAATTTGAAATTGACGAAATACGTGAATTAAGTGAAGTAAATGCTAAAAGAAGATCATCAGCATCTAATTCTTCTTTCTTTTTTTTTCTCAGTATTCATGAACAAAAAAAATATAATGATTGTTAGTCCTCTCGTGTTTTATTAATAATGATATTTTAACGAGTTTCGAATCTTTCCTATAAATATACATATAAAGATTAATTTTAGATCAATGTTTGAACTTGTTCAAAATGTTATATTAAATGAAGAAGCACATCATAGTTTACCATAAAATAAACCACCTGTATTTATTTATGAATAATGACTTCAGTTTTGAAATAAAACACTTATTGTTGCTCAGAAAGTAAATTGTTATGAAGAATGAGTTATGCAACAAGTCCAATATGGATCTCATTCACTACTACCAGCATTAATGGGTCGAAATTTAGCAATTTTATTTAGTGTTAGAAATCAATTTCTACTATTTCATACAATTAATCATTGTCATAATAAATTAAAATCAAAAGCTGAAATCAACAAAGTGGAAATAATTTCCATTTGAAATTTTATTAAATTATGAGCATTTTAATCGATTAATTATTCATTTATATGAAGAAACTGTACAAATGTTAGTTGAAATATTAGAAAATGGTGAGTCTCAAATGCGTTTTGAAATTATATTTTCTCTTCATTGATATCGACACACGTGCTGACACCCATACCCACAGATAGCAAGCAAACTGGTAGGTGATCTCGCATGAAATGAGGATGAAAGAAAATTCACATCTATAGTTACTTTAATGGCTTCATTTTTCCGCTGCATTTGCCGTACTTGTTTATTTTGATTCACTCTGCATGTTATCAGAAGCCTGCACGACTATGATCAAAGGTAATAACGCAATGTCAATAAACATGTCTCAATTAAAACAAATAGCCTCAGCAGACATTTATTTAAGTGCAATATTTCGTACGACAATAGACCATATGAATATCTGAAAAATTTCCATCAACTTGTCTTGAATTACCTGTTGAGCTTATCTGCCATATTCTTGACAATCTCGATACATTCGACATCTTACATTCAGTTCGTAACATATGCACACGGTTGAACTGGATCTGGTCAATTTTATTTTCATAATGCAGTCAGTATAATACTTTGAATTTGATGAGTATTACCTAATAGAAAATAGGTGCTGATATAACTATAGTCATTTGCGTGAATTTTATTGAATTTCATAAATTTCTGTGTCTCTTTTTCTCTTGAAATTGAAGTTTTATTTTCCTGTAATAATTACAGAAAAGATTTTTTGAAATGAATTTGAACAAAGAATATCACGGAAGAAATTCAATTAGGTTTCACAAAGTCTATCTTTCCGAATGTTTAAACGTTTCTTTAAGCAATGAGTTTAAGAAAAATTTATACTTATAAAACGATGCTGTGTAAAAATTGTAAAAGCCATCAGAAACCATAATGGTTTTACAGTCACTAATGGATAGTAGTTGGTGTAGACTAGACTCATAAATGTCAACAAAAAAAACCATTGAGGATGCTACCTTCTTTTCGCGGGCATGTTGCATTTAAAAGTAAATAAATATAAATTCTCGATTTAACGCACCATGGACTTCGTTCTGTTGGCGAAAATAGCAGACTATTTTCTTATAGCATACATAATTCGTGAATACTGCATAAAAGCTGTTTACTACACATATACTTTCGTCATACCTTTTATTTGCAAAGAAAGCGCTATATATTTGCACAAGGAAAGATTAATTTATCGCTTTGATTTGCATAAAAGATTCGATAGGCAAGTGGAGGACGAAATATTTCGTTCTCAAAAAAGTAAAATCAATATTCGGCTTACATTTAGGTGAGTCTTTTGTATCATTTTCAATCCTTCTATAGAAGAAATTGCTCGTAACTGTGCTGCCCAATAAGCAAGGAGAACATCAGTGCATACTTCAAACATGTTTCGTAACCTATCGTTATGCCAGTGCTTGACAACACCTGATCTTTCTTCTCAGCGTTATGCAAAGGGTCCTAATATCAAACATCCACTTTTTTTTGAGTTTCCAGTTTTTGTTTTAATTTTAGGCCGATCATCGATATAAGAAAGAATAGCAATTGGCTAGAATAAGTAATTTGTGTTATTAATCAGGCGAAAGGTATACACACAAGAGAAGTACAGAAACGAAATCGAGCAGATGTGTAGAGAGAGAAGTACTAATGATGTATAGATAACGATGAATAATGTATTCATGTAGTCAGTATCTTTGACCTGATTGGATATTTAGTATGCTATTGATCAGTTCGAATGTTTTTTTTGCTTGAATAAGAATCACAATCTATTGTGGACTACTAGATAGCAAAACGAAACTTCATTGTTCACACTATTCTACTATCGTTCGGGAGAAATACGAATCACACCGTCGAAAAAATATGTTAAATGAATTTCGGCTGGTCATTAAACCGAACTTTTTATTCGCTAAGTATAGCACTGCTGAGAAGAATGACACAGTACTCAGAGTGTGTGTGTGTAGATGCATATAGAAGGTACTCATATTCACTAACATTCTCATCTGCACACTGGTTTTACATCTTACACTCATTTCATATCGCAGAAAATCATGCTGTCTTAACCAGTAGTGCGATAATTAACAATTAATTTTAAAAAAATTTTAAGGATCCATGAGCTCGGCGTAATGGCAGACAGAAAGTTCGGTTATCCGAATAAATGTGTGTGTATGAGATAAAACAAATGTTCCATGTTATAAAGGAAGATATTTATGGTGCCCAAAGACCAAACCCAGTCAGTGATTCTGTTTGGAACTAAGCATGTGATATGCTGCACGTAGACGCCTCAAAGGTCAATAAGAAATGAGTAAGGATTTTATTTAATAGGTTTTAGAACTACACTTTTGTTTTCTTGTTTTATAATTGTAACCGTTGTGTATTTTATGTTCGAGATAAAATATCAGAATGGTCGATTTTCTCGTGTCGCTTTGAACGCAGTGGTTTTTCACATTGTTTCATGCGTCTTAAAAGAACAGATTCGAACATAAATTAGAACATTGCATACGTCCTTACGGAAGCAAATCAACAATAAGCATCCGCATGATTGAAGAACAAAGTACCACGATCCAAATTTGTGAAGCTGATATCAGCCATGAGCAAATGAAAGCATCATTTGATATTTTTGTTTCTACATTTAGACAAATCGATAATCCTCATATGAAATATATGTTAATAGAACAAATTATTTCCTCATTGACTATTACATCAGATGAATCTAAAAGAATTGCAGAGTCTGAATTGATCACACACGAACTTTTTGTTATTTTACGTGACTATGTAATTGTCGATCAACTTCGTCGAGAACCAACAGAAAAGACTAATGGTACACAAAAGGTTTTGCTGAATGTTTCATTGTTCTTCATGAATTTGTGCTCTAGTATCAATGAAACTAATTTTACTGCATTTAAACGTTTATTTTTTCAAAAACCATTAATCGACGAACTTGCAAATTGTCTTCATGAAATAATTACATATGGCAAATACTTAAATGATCGTTTACATTTGCGTTCGGTTAGCTCCTTACTAATAGCACTGAAGAAAATTCGGAAATATCATCTTACGACAATTGAGTATTCACTAATTACACCAATACTTTTGGCTGCTACTGAATGTTTGTGCTCATCGTATGCTGTTGACATAATCAAAAGTTTGAAACGGAATTTCGTTCAACAACTAGATGAAGTTCAAATGCTATTTCTTCATGCTATACCATTCTATTTAAAATGGTACTGGGATAATTGTGATCCTGAAAGTTTTATCAAAATTTTACGGATGTTAGTGAATGAATATACGGCGTGGTTTACAAGTTGTCAACCAGATTCCTATCTTCAACGTTCTTCTGAAATTGATGGTATGATCCGTCATCTAAATTATATTCTCATTCGTCCAACTGAATTTGATAGTCTGAACATTTTTAGTGAAGAATTTTATCAGGACTATTGTAAATTAGTTTGGCATTGGTCATTGATTTTGTCATCAATCTTAGCATGCTCTACCTGCACAACGAATGTCAAATCAGCAGCACGAACCAGTGTTCAAATATTCTATAATTTCACATTACATTCAAACGTACTCAATTTTATGAAAACTATACCGAATTTGATTTCAATGCTTCTGAAAGTAACTGATCTTGATCATGATGAAATGCAATTGAATGCATATCGCTGTTTGGGCAAAATTATGATCGAAGCAGATATTAAAACTATGACGAAGCCGAGTAAAATTGCGGCCGTACACATTGAATTTCTGAAAGATACTATTAATGAGTGGAAACAATCAGAAAGATTTTATAGTCTATTAGAAAGTTTGAAAAGTAAGTTTGTATCTATTGTATTTTTTCTGATAAGATCGAGCATAGATTAATAGTTTTAAACTTTCTCTAGGTTTTGTTCAGCACGATCAAGTCAAAATTGAACTGATAAAGCAAGAAGTTCTTCCTCTGCTAATAACGTGTTTTTTAGAGAATTCACCTGATTCAATTAAAGTACAGCTAGTAGCTCTTGAGATTCTTTTTGCTCTCTCGTTTCACGAACTGGCCTGTTCGTTTCTAAAACAAAATGAAAATTTCATGAATCACATTCGAATCTTTTCAAGCAAAACATATTCAAATCAATTACGTTTACAACGAGCTGCAGAAGGACTTCTTTGGAAATTAGAAAAAGAAGATGAAGCAGTTGCTAAACCAACCACTTTAACTTCATACAAATACGATGTCATGATAAGTTATTCTCATAAAGATAAAGAAATATGTCTTCGAATTCATCAACAATTAATCAATGATGGATTTCGTGTTTGGATTGACAATGATTGTTTGCGTGGGTCTACCATGGTTGGTATAGCGAATGCCATCGAAAATTCTCTATATGTAATGATATGCATGTCAAATACATACAAACAAAGTGTTTATTGTCAATCGGAAGCTCATTATGCCTTCGAACGACGTTGCCGCCTTATTCCGATCATTGTTGAATCAAATTATAGGCCTGATGGATGGCTAGGTATCATTGTCAGTGGTAAAATCTATGTTGACTTCCTCATAAATGAATTTAACTTGGCTTATGAAAAATTGAAAAATGAAATTAGTGAACAACGAGATCAAGCTTCATTTCAATTGCAGACAACATCAGAAGAAAACAATCAGATCAATAGAACTTCCATGAGTTCAGAACATGCTGTATTAGTTTTCGAATCGATCATGTGAGTCTCATATAGTTACTTTCCAACTCTTAGTTGCTAAGCTTATCAGATCAAAATTAGTGTCCCATAATTCTAAATTTAATCGTGAAGTCTATGATTTTGAACATATAAAAATAATAATGATATTAATTATATCGTTGATATTTGAATACATGATAGAATGCTCCTTCGATTAGTCGTTGTGAACAATCATTCAGTTTAATATGACATTGGTTTTTTCAAATATGTAATATTTTTGATTTCTTTAATTTAAAGTTAGAGTATTTTTGACGTTGTCTTAAAAATCGCCTACCAATTTAGATTCCAAGTTCTCTAAAGATGAAGATATCCATGAGATTCACTAATTAAGAAATTATTATTTGTTTTGACGCCTGCTAGTATGCAATATACGCAGAATATACGTGATACTTATCCTCGAATGAATCTTGGTCAAAGTTTTAAATGCTTCGTTTAAGATGAGAAGGATGGGTTTTTTTTGAAGCAAATGCTTCTACTCGATAAAAATGAGATCTTGAATTCGAACTCATCGATTGCAACAAAAAAAAACATTTCTTGACAAATCAATAAAGTCAATCGAAACATTCTACCTAGCTTCATGATTCTATTGAGCAACATGTCTAGAACAATTAATTCGGTAGTACCGCCTAAGTTTGTGCACTATACAGGCATAATCTACTTTGTGAAAGCTTCAAGAACATTCGAAAGACTAAATAATAGGGTTGTGGTTATGATTTCGCTAATAGCAAACATTTCATCTTTGTTTAGTTTCCATAATGTCCTGTGTTGAAATGATCATGAAGTGCAACTGACAGTCTAGTCTATTATGAGTTAGTAATACGTTCAATTATGTACAAATGATTTTTCAATTCAAGAAATTCATTCAATTTTTTATTTCATATTTTCTGTGAGTTAATTAGTATATTTTTTAAGTAGTTTGAACCGCAAAACTAGTTGAGCGGTGTTAAATAACTTAGCTATGCACATGCTAGAGAATCTTTATGATAGAAAAACATGAAATCAACAAACGATCACCATTTTTCAATCTTCTTCTTTACAACATAAGCATTGTATACTTAAGATTCTGCTATCATCCTATGCAGATCAGTAACTTCAGGGTGTACCCCATTAGCAAATTGAAAAGAAATAAAAATATAACTTGCCTATTTTTAAAACTGAAAGTTTCACGAAATAACTCATGTTTTGGTTACGGTTACGTTGCTAAATTCAATTTTATTAGCAACTATCTATAACATATTGCCTTATTGCAGTATCATGGTTTACGCATCTTTATAGTGACTTACCGCATTGTATCACTCAATGGACTGAAGATCATGTTAAATCATTTCTTCTTCGTATTGGACTCAATGACACGATTCTTCCTCTTTGTAAAAGCGTTAACGGTTATCGTCTTCTACAACTCTATGAAATGTGTTTGATAAATCGTGAATCGATGTATCAATCGTTAAAACTCGAACTGAACGAAAGATATCATACATTATTACCGATCGCTGATTATCTCACTTTTCTTGATGAAATCAAAGTATATGTTCCATCGACTGCAACAAACATAAAAACTGTACAAACTCCATCTTTTTCGTTTACAATGTGTAACTTCATGTAGGACTGTTCAACTTTTTGGTACTTGAAAATAAATGAAAAATACTGGCGAATGTGGTTTTGTTTTTATTCTAATTATTCGAGAGTAGATAATTAGTTGTACAGAAAACGTGAATGGATGGAACTGAGTTGGATGTGAAAGTTTTTGAGTATTGGTATGCGTGTAGGAATTGTAGACGATAATCGCCACACCCACACCATAAGACTTAGTTTTTCACTTTTTTTCACCCATTTCATATCATATGTGTGAACTCGTAAAGATTTCTTCAATTACAGAATCTTAGTAGTATTAGTGCTTTCAAGATGTGTGCGTGTGAAGATTGTCGTCTACATCTCACATCAAAACTCCGCATGTCACATGCTCAGTAGGAAGTCAGGCGGACATATATGAAAATATTCTTTTCCAGAATCGAACCGTTTGCGTAGGTACATACATATATGATCTGTCATTTATTCAAATAGGGCTTCTTTTAGTTTAATAAAGTTCTTCAAAAGAGCCTGACTACACTTGGATGCAGAAATCCACATAAGTAAAAAAAAATGAAGATGTTCGGCAATATAACACAATATTCCACAAACAACCAATATCGCGAAAACCTTACCCACTAATGGACTTCATGTTTAAAAAAAATATTCTAATTCGATTTCGAATGAAGTAGAAAACCACGAGTCATTATACGGAAACCCTACCTGCAAATTTCTCGTTCGGTATAATGAGAATCCTGCATAGAGGTAACGGCTAATCGAGCACACATTTCTAATAGATATCTATACTTATGTATTTTAATTTCTGCAATAAGGCAAACTCTTTAAGTCTTTCTTAGGCAACTTTAGAGGGTACCCGAATGTCCAAGATTTTCGAGCGGAAATTCTGTTTCAGAGATCCATGCTACACTTTGAAGAAAAACGAAGGTAATATTCGGAATTAGGGCATAAAACCACAGCAAATGGCATGTAGTCCAGAACATTAAAAAACTTTTTTAAAAAAAAAAAGGGTGGAATCATCAAGCCATATTTTTTCTGTGTAAAATCCTTTTATTTTCTTAAAAAACGACTTTCTGAGTGGGATACAGTCATTTCCAGTCAAATAAAAATCAATTGTGAGCAAAAAAAGTCGCATTTTTGCCTTCTTACACTGAATGTCTCCAATGTGCCCTATGTATTGGCCACGGTTTAGGTGATCATCTAACGTGAGTCACAGAATGAAAAGCAGCTCTGAACGTTGAAGAGCTGAACATCTATTCGAATAAGCTAAACCTTCGTTTTGTTTCCTTGCTATGATCAAGTTTAAGTGAGTGAAATTTCAGTTCAGGATGTTGTAGCATTTATTAAGAATTCATTTCCTACATATACTAGAAGAATCATAAAAGAAGAGCAAAAAAAATAGAATATACAAATATTTCTATAAGATCTAAGGTCAGATTTTAGTTGGGCATATCATTGAATTATTTTATTGAAAACACAGAATTTTGAGTTTCCGACGAATAGTAAGTTATATACTGTCGGAATGAAAACATTGAAAAAGCTCATAATAATATTGTAAGCATTGTGCAATACTGATTTAATCCAGTCATGAGTCATTATGAATGATGTCATATAGAAAAATGAGAAGGAAAAACATGATGTATTCGTTTGGAGTATTTTATTGATGGTGAAATGAACAGTTATGCAAAAGATGAATACTCAATTTGATTAGTTCATAATCTGCAAATTATATCGCACAACAAAAAAAATAAACCTATCATACGAATATGCCATGAATTCTGTATTTTGACCATTAATTTGAGTAGATTTTAGCGTGCAAAATGTCAATAGTAACAAATCAATTCTACTCAAGTATCTTAGCTTCGAATAGGTTCGATATTTTCCTAATGAGCTGAAAGCTAATTCAGAATCAAAAAATGATTTCTGATTTTTTTTTCTTTTCGATATTTTTAGCTTTCGGAGTCTAGGATATAGTAGTCATGGTCTGCGACTGAACCATGATCACTAACCATTTGTACCATACGGATTTTTGTAAAACCGAAATGAACCATGTATGAGTTTTGTTTAGAAATATGCGATCTGTCATGTTAAGCCTCTTGTAAAGGACAGGGGCGCATAAGAAATCGATTTGGCCCATTTGATATTTTCAGTCACTTTATTGCTCATCCTATTCAGAAAAATGTGATGATTCTTTTGGTAATAAATTCAAGTCAAGCTGTGAGGATTATAAGATATTTTGAGGGAGAATATCTGCAAAAAAGTATTGAAGTCTCATTGGGCTCATAGTTGTCTAGTATTAGCTCAAAATATACAATTTTTAGGTAATGTTTCAAACTCAATCCATATTGGTTAGAAAGAGCGTTTAATACTGCATCGTTTCATATAAAAACTACTATTCTTTCATTCAAAAATTTAATCATGGAAAATAATGTCCTTTCACAGGGGTATTATTCAGTACCTCACATCCGAAAAAATTATTAGAACTGTTTGACATATTTTTACGTGTAAGCCAAGTTCTTTTATATACCAATCGATAGAGCAAAGAAAGAGCTACAAAATGATACATAATTAATTTGATTTCAACATGGACCACTATATCGAAAGTGTGCATGAATTGTTCTGGAACATAAAAAGTACACTTCTCTGCTCATTATTGAGCGAATTTTATAAGAATAATTCAGCTTTTGTTAGAAGAAAACGACATATTTGAAATCAGGATAAAAATCTGAGTCGATCCATGTAGCTTTGAATATTTTCTAAACACTTTTATTTTCCTCCAAAAATTCAGCTGGGGTCCCCTCAGAGTTAGGTCAAAAATAATATCGATTGAAACGCCATTCTAACTGTGAAAAACAAGTTCTGCAGTCCTCAAAAGTTAGGAAAATTAAAAAACACAAATGACTAATAAATAAAAACCACTGTTTTAATGAATTATATTTTTTGACCTAATCCTGTGGGAGACCTCAGCTGAATTTTTGGAGGAAAATAAAAGTGTTTAGAAAATATTCAAAACTACATGGATCGACTCAGATTTTTATCCTGATTTCAAATATGTCGTTTTCTTCTAACAAAAGCTGAATTATTCTTATAAAATTCGCTCAATGATGACCAGAGAAGTGCACCTTTTATGTTNAAATTTCGTAAGTTCCACATTAACATATTTTGATAACTCTTACTATTTAGTACTAATAAATCCAGTTTTCGACGCTCTTTAATTTGGTATAAAATTCATTAGGTATTCAACTTGAAATAATGACGCTACCCCCCTAGCAAAAGGTTATGCACAACCCTGTACATCATCTTTGCTTCATTCAGATTACGAAAGTGCTGGTATCGTTGGTTGATTCAAAATTAAATGGAGTAATCTTTCTGATCGACCTGTTGATCCTCGACTTAATTCTTGTGGTGATCGGATATGGGCGTGAGTGAGGATGCGGCCATAGGTATGATTTCGGGCTTATGTTACGAGAAGATTCACAACTACCTACAATGACACTCACATCCACATCTCATAAAATAACTAACAGTATCGTATTCTAGATTTTCATACGTTGCTAGTCTCTTTTTGTGGATTGAATGGCCTTTTCTTCTATTAATTAAGCATTATAATCTTCTCATTTGATGACCATCTTTTTTGTAAACTAAGAGGTAAAATTTATACTGTGAGGTTTTTTTATAATTATTTTTAGGACATTGATATTTAATAAAAATGATGAAATTGAAGAAAAACGTTCCAAAATGTTACATTGAACAGAAAAATACCGGGGACAATATTTTGAAATGAAGAAAATGTTGATTGAAAATCGATCGAAATGTAAGCATGCACAATGCTTAGAAGCTTATATAGTAACCAATCGAAGTTGCAGACACTTAAATAAATATACTATACACATCTCACTAGTCTGTTGATATAGTTTTACTCTGCCTAACTTTCTATTTGTAGATATTTGTCAAACATGGGGACAGATTCACCAGGCATGATCTCTTTGCAACAAACTATAAGTGATCATCTATTGTTTTTGTCCGCATGTTATTACATACTTTACACTAGATAATTCCTATCTTCTTGTTGTGGATTTTCCCCTTCCTGTCATGTATGTCGTCGTGACATAAATATACACCCATATCTTCTCTTTTGTTCTTCTCCTATGTACATGGTCAGTGTCCTTGAATAAATCAAACTCATGTTCACAAACACACACTCTTCCTCTGTTTTCATGCAAAGTCTCAATGCTTTTTCTTATTTTTGAAACATGAGAAAAAAATCTTCTCCAGAATATAATTTTATCTATTATGAAAAGAATATTTTTTGTATTAATTGTTTTAGCTATGTGTTGAAGAACAAAATAGTCTGATTAATGTTGGGAATTATGAAGATGGAGTTCTTATTCATGTAAGTTTGCTTTACAAATATCAATTACAAAATAACGAGTGATTTTAAAATAAGCATCAGCTACAGAATACACATTTACACGTGACCAAACTAAAAGAACTATTTTTGTTCATGTCTGATTGCATATTCTTATCGATCAGGTGAGTTTTTCAAAAATCTGATACCAATATTTCTTTTTAATCAGATCCAGAAACAAACCTGGTCCCACACATATTGACAACATTTTCATTGAAGCAGATTAGATCGTGTTCTGGTCCCGCGAGAACTATGATTTGATACTATTAATGGAAATAGATTTTTATCAAGTTTGATAATTTACAGATGTATTTCATTCGAAGAAAAATCTTGTAAAAATAAATGATTAATTTCGGCAATAAAACTTGAAATAGAAATTGTTGGATTGTATTTCATTGGGCTCTATATGGAATAGGATCCAATTAGTCGTCTCATCAAACGAACTGTCACGATTTGTCTCATGGAATGGGATAATTATGGAAAATTTCACGCCCGTTTCTATGGGACCTTACATGGTGTGGGTTTGGAGTGTAGTTGTCAGCATTGAGTCAGAGAAAGCTCACATCCACATCCTCTATTGCTTTCACTCTTCAAAAGACGTACAATCAAATTGACGGATCTTCTTTAAGTCAACTCGACTGTTTCCTATTACTATATTGATGACATGACTTCATTGGAGTCAGTCGATACTCTTCTTCTTTATTTTCACATGTATGATTCTATGAATCATTGGTATTTACATGTTGAAGAAACATACAAACGTTGTTTTAAGCCGTTCTGTCATACTAGTGACGCATCTTTTATTACAGATTATTAATCGGCTCATGTAATTAGCTTTCAAGTTTGGTACATATTTGTTTATTAAAGAACATCTGAAAATGTAGTTTTATTTTTATGTCCTAAATAATATTTGAAAGTGGAAACCAATGAAAAGACAATAATTGGTCGAGACTGACTATTAGCATTTACGGTTAAGAACTCGGATCGATATCGAACTTTTGCACTCGATGATTGTCCCAATCCACGACGAAGAGATTACCATGTCGATCGAAGAATAAACCTGTTGGCCCATTCAACTGGTTTGCTTGTTCTCCTTGGCCATTTCCACCCACAATGACACTTCTCTTGGTGGCTCCTTTGGGCCAACGCATTATTCGATGATTCCCATAATCGGCCACATATATAGTACCCAAATGATCAAGGATAACTCCACAAGGGGATGCCAATTGTGTCAAATCATTGCCTTTGCCTCGACCACCGGCCACGATAATGCCTTCTTTTGCACCCTCCGTCCACTTCATCACACGATGATTGCTATGATCGGATACATACACTGAATGATCCCAATCAACGAATACATATGTCGGATAACTGAGCTGATCGAGGCGATCACCTTGTCCATTACCACCAGCTACCACTGTTCCTTGAGTTTCTCCTACTTGCCATCGTTTGACATTATTGTTTTTAGTGTCAGAAACATAGAGAAATCCTTGATCGTCCACTATCAAGCCATTGCATTCGATGTCTGATAGAATGATTTGTCCACATGTACCACTTTGACGAGGCCAAAGTATTACTCGGTTATTTCCACCATCACATATGATAAAACTATCTTTTTCTTTATCCAAAATCAAATCTGATGGATTTTTTAGTTGATTCATCTGGTCTGCTGGTTCGTTTCCACCTGTAATCGGCTGACCAGTTGTCGCACCGCACTTCCATTCCATAATACGATGATTCAAGTAGTCAGCTACGTAAACGCTTTGGTCGTCATCAACATATACACCACATGGGTGTGAGATTTGATCCGATCTATTTCCAGTTCCATTGCCTCCAGCTACAGTGAAGCCATTCTGAGACCATCTGGCATTGAGATTGAGAAGGAAACGACTTGCACGTAACGGTGCTGTAGTGAAGAACAATGACAATGATAACTGATGTCAATCAAAACTAATGAACACTACATGAGCTTTTTGAACAGCTTATAACTTACAAAATGATTAGACAACAGTTTTCACTAAAGAAATCTTAAAGTTTGGTGTCAGAAAAATTTGATAAATTTAAAGTGTCCGACCTATAGTGTAATGGAACATAATCTTATGAAGTAATCATTCATCTATATATTCTGAGTTCTTCTAGCAAATATTAACATCTAAATTGTCAATATAACTTTTTGAGTCACCACACGTATGCTAGAAAACGTCTTGGTCTTGCTACCTCAGTAAGCCTCTTCCAAAACCTACGCTCGCGCATCCCGCATTTACACGAGCTGATTACATTTTTAACTTACGCTTGAGCATATCTTGACGAAGTTTTTGCAATTCCAATTGGTGTTTCTGTGAACTTTGTTGAAGTTGGTCATTCAGCTGTTTAATTGTCTCTTGTGATTGTTGAAGTTGTTCTCGAAGACATATAATATTGGTGTGATTTACAGAAGCATTGCAACGTTGATATACTATTTTACAAGCTGCACATGTTAGTTCTATCAATGGGCAATGAGTCTCGTGCTCAATTAAATCTTTTTTCAACATCTGCAATTGACAACCAGAGCATTGTTGAGACTGATAAATACATTGTGCCTCATGCTTATCGAGCGCCTCATACGCAATATTCTAGAGAAAAAAATATCAATGGAATAGTGACAGTATTAGAAGAATAAACAACCGCATTGCAACCATTTTGCTGATAAACACAAGCAACTTGTATTTTGGCAAGTTGTTGAGCAAGAAATCGAGGACATGATCGTTGGATAAATTTGTCACATCTTATTGGACATCGATTTGGATTTATGCTGAGCCATTTGGCAATGCACACTGAGCAAAAGGGAGTCTCACACGATTGGCAAGCGACAGGTTTTCGGAGAATATTGTGACATATTGAACACTGAATATCATTTATATCGATTCCAGGTGGTGGGCCTTGGAGACGATCAGAAGAAAGTCCGTCTTCATCAGTAGATGTCATCTGAAAAACAAACAACAGCTGAACGATTCCATATTGTCACCCATGATATTCTCAAGAAAAGATTTCCATTGCTAAATTGAATAATGTGACTATTTGACGAGAATAGAGATTGACTACTAGCCAGCAGTGTTCAGACTGTCAAAAAAGTAAGTTTTTTCTCATAAATTATCAAATTTCAGAAATGCTATACAAATTGAAAAGTTTGTAAATTTCAAGCATTCATTCTTCAAATTCTTCGGCACTTTTCAAAAATGTGTAGCTTCCGAAATTCCTACAACCTTTTGATTTACACTGCTAGGCCATTAACGAACTGATAAAAATTACGAAAGTTTTGGTTCTTTTCTTTTTTGAAAATCTGAACAAATATCTATACAAATTCATATGATATACCTGAGAAAATGTTGGTAATTACTGAGATTTTCTGATAATTTCTTACAAGTTTCTTTTTTTGTTTTCGATGGATTATTGGTGACACGACGAAAATTTCTGTCGATGAGGAAATTTACTTTTTTGGACATTTCAACATACCCTCTCCTATGTTTATACAAGAGTATGACGTAATTGAGAGAAAAATTTATATTGCATTAACGTTGTCTTCATTGAGAAAAAAACTGAAAGACATATTCAGACAAATAAGCAAATGTTGGGTTGATGTTTACCTTTATATGTTACTTAATGTGTCAGCGATGTGCGCGACAATAAGTGAAGTAATCATAAGATCTGTCTTTTTCTTTATACGACACTCGACTATTCCGCAACTCATTTGCAATATTAACTTTTTATTCAAAACATTGCGAGCAAAGCTTGTACGTGGGACAATTCACATGCGCCAATGTCAATATTAGTCATTCGTTGAGAGAAAGAAGCTTCAGCAAAAGAAAGTTTGTCATAAAAGATAACTTTTCTACGCACACTCTACATGTTTTTTTTCTTCTGAGGGAGACGCCTGAGTCATCTGTTTGTTCTCTTTCGAAATCCGAGCGCATTTCAGACATCTGGACGGCTTCTTACTGAAACGAAAAAAAGCAGCAGAACGAGAAAAAATGCAACTATGCTCCTCATTACATCTTTTTTTCTTGCGTCTCAATATCTGTATGCATCAGGTACAATCATCGAAATAACGAAGAAAAATATATTGGATTGCGAGCTTTCACAAAATGCAGTTCATGTTTCATACTTTATTTTCATCAAGTGTCACTTCTTTCCGCCGTAAACTTGCTGTACTAGAGAGGAAATACTTAAAATGATATTCTTTGATTTGGCTTAAAACTGATAGTACGCTTCATAAACAAAACTTAGGTAAACTTTAAAATAGAAAAAATTCTCTTCTCACAATTTTGAAAAGAAAACCTGTGTCAGTGGTCCTTTTATTGTAAAAGTGAGAAACTATGAAACATGAGGTAGATTTTGACAAAATCTGTACCTCCATACGTCGAATCTGTTTCAAAATTCTGGGAAGACACAACCGTCTCTTGATTATATGATCAGTTTTAAGTAACACTGTATGTTTCTTTGTGTGTCTAATATGCTTCCAAAGAGAAAATAAATTTTTCTTGCGTTCACCTTGATTTACTTTAATTTGAAGATTTTCTAAATTTTGCTTTAATATTTTAAATTGATCAATACTTTCTTTTTCAAACTGATGTGTTTATTTTCTATGATATCGCTATTAACTCAATACCTAATTGTAATTGGCAACGTTCTAATTGATCAATTCTTTTCGATTGATTACCCGATTTTACCTCTACACTTGTGCACGCTATATCAATGAAATCGATTTACAAAAAGAACGAAATTTTCTTGTATAAATTAAAAAAAACTCTCCAATAGTTTTATCTGATAAAAATCGATTTGTTCTATAGCCATTAAATAGGTATGCAGCAATAACCAAATTTGAATCCAGAATTATAACGAAATTTTTAAAAATTCAATTTATTAATGAAAAAAATGCAATAAATAATCATCAGATCAAAATGTTATTTATTAACTAAAACCTATTGAATCGATATTTGAAATGTACAATCCTTTTTGAATATATTTTCGATATTTATCTATAGTTGTTCTACCAATGCAATGACGTTGACAAAGAACTTTAAAATAAATATTTTTAAATAATAATATTCAACTATAAAAAGTGCATATCTAACAATTGGCCTCAATAAGTTAATTTATTCTCATTCAATAGAGAGTAACAATTTATTAAATCATTTGCTGGATATTTTAAATCAATTAATATCTCCTATTTTTTCATAATCAAAAATTAATTGTATTTGATAAATAAATAAAATAATCTCATCATTTTGTTTTTCAATTCTTGTTAAAGTTGATTGAAATGTTTAAATTACAATCGTTGTAACATGTGCAAAAAAATTGTATTTCGTGGACGTTATGAATTATAATCGATATGTAATAAACTATATTGAAAAAGTATATTTCTGAACTCTTTTCTGTTTGTTTGAATGTGATATCATAAATCTGCTTCCATAAATCAATTAATTCTCAAGTTTTCTGATCGAAAAATATTTAGAACTGAACCTCAGTATCATTATTTTTCGTTCATCTATTCTATTATTTAGACACAAGAGGAAAACTTCAAATTGATGACATATTTAATGGTTATACAATGAATTTCAATATTTTTCCCCCAAGATTTTACATCATTTTTTGGACCATCTACACGAAAACACTTATGTGTATATAGGTTAAATCTTTCAAAGAAAATAATAAATCTTATTAACCAATGCTTCCATATACAACGCAATAAAATGGTTTCGTAATGTATCAAGAATATATTGATAAAAAATAAATAATAAAATCCTCACTGATTCTCTAATAAGAGCAAGATTATTTTTTGTTCGTGCTGATAAAATTCCAATGCAGCGTCGAATTTCCTCATCAGACTATATGTGCATTCGTAATCGAGAATTTCAATATTTAATGTTTCTAGAATTTTACATTTGCAGTTTTCATCTTTCAGATAATGTCCTCTCGATTACGAGGCCCTTCCAATGATGCGTAGTCACAGTCAAAGAATAAATACTCTTATGAATGAAAAAAGATCTTTTGTTACCACGACAAAGAATCATTGAGGGGTGGCACAACAACGACATTTAACCACATCGGAAGAAGAGGATCGAAAGTCACAAAAAGTATGGTACAACAACTTCATTTCGTTGCTGAGGATCAGATTATAACTGTTTAAACCGTCGTTCTTTTAATTAGTAGAGGACGAAATTTATCGGTATGCTCTTATGATTTAATATTCTCAGCCAAATGTAAGAACTGTAATAATTGTCTATCTGGACAACGACGTATTCAGCGTGATCGAAATGATTCCAATCATTTCAATTGTCTTTGTCCTCCCTCTTATTATGGGCATCGTTGTGAATTGAACTTGGAACAATACAATTCCATTACCGATTTAGTTATCGTCGGCTGCTCGGCACAAGTAAAGATGGATTACATCCTTCGTAGTGTTTCTACTCTTTATCGATCGCTTATTGAATTATTTCTATCTTCTCGATCACATTTGGTTGATCTACATCGTGACACTTTGACAGCACACCTTCATCCTTTTCTAGTGCATCGTTGCCATTAATCATGATAACTTGCTTTCTCTGCTCTTCAAATTATTTAGCCATTTCTATTGTGAAATTACGTAGAATGCAGAACAAACTATTGAACTTTGTAGTCAACAGCAATTTAGGTCCAATTTTCTAACAAAAACACAAGTTTCTATAAACATTTTTGTATAATTTGGGACACTTGATAAAAACAGTTTAGACCAAACAATGTAACTAATAAATTCGAGAATCTCAGAAGAAATTATTATTTCGCTGTAACATAGGATCCATGTTGATACAGACCGAAAACTCGAGTTATCTGTTCTCTTCACAGACTGAATTCGTTCTTTTTTCGAAATATTGAATAATATCTTTGACGACTATATATAACTGTGAAAAATACTCTTCTCATCTTCTCATTTGCTTTCAAAACTTTTATTGCATTAAAAGAGCTGTGTTGTCCGATACTTTTTGTGACATGTACGCACATGGAAAAATCTATAAATACACTATTACACTAACTTTTCACATCGGTCTACTCATTTGTGCGATAAATTTTATCATGGGTCTTATCTAAACCTACCATCAAATGTCAACTCATGTCTGGGTGTGGGTGCCAATGTGAATGAATACAAGACGCATATTCACACTCCCATATCTTGATAGATGGCGCTAATATACGCACTTGATGTAGATCTTTTTTCTAACTTTTACATGACAACCTTAATTTATCCATAAATAGTTGTCAGAAGTGTTAAAGCTAATATGAATAACATCGAATACAATACATTTATAGATTATAATGTGTTGTAAAATTCCGTGTAAAAACAGAGCATAAACTATGTTCAGTATAGTATCGTATACGGTACAGATGATGCGATCGTACAAAGCACCCCATAGCTTAATGATAACTGTTCTGTAAACCGGTTTCAGGTTATGAGGCAGCTAATGATCATTGTATTTGCGCTACACTTGATTACAATTGTTAATAGATACATAATTCTTCTACGCATTCATTAACTACTATTCATCACTGACAAGACAGAATCGAACAGAAATTAACACTTTTCCTTTGAATACTCAAAAGACTTTGTCACATATGAATCAATTCGATTCTCTGAGCGAATCAATTTTATTAGACAGTGCCTATTCTTGAAAATGATCTTTTTATTCCAATGAGTTCCATAAATCAATTCATATAGCGCTGTAAAACAAAAAGTCAACTTTTGTACAACAGAGAAAAATATTCAATAAGCATCGACGTCAATCAATTCAGTTATTCACCAAATCAGTACCGAATGCTATTCTGCTTTTATAATTTCTCTTTTCATAAGGGCATACTTAGTGCATAATAGTTTCTAACTTAGTTTAGACTGAAATGAACACGGTAAATTCGCTAGCCTTATTTTGACGTTGGCAACTTGTTCTTTGCATAAAATGAATTATAGGAGCAGACAAACCAAATCTTCCTTGCTGTGCATGCTTTCTCTTGGCTCTTTTTTTTGAAGGAAAGACGACATATTTACACAAAATTTACTTGAGTATTTGCTTTCATTTGTGCAAAAAGAGTCTGATAAGTAATATGCGAATGTCGCAGTTTGTTACCTGTCCGCAGCTGGCTTTTTCTAACCTTCAAAAAAAAACCCAGAAACAGTCAATACCCAGGTAAAGCGAAACAAAATCAGTGCGTGTTGACAACGACGTGATGATGTTGTCAGTGCTGTTGCGATAGCACACACTTACAGACACTGTTGTATCGAGTAATGAATCAAAATATTGACGAAAAGCATTACCAAGAAAGACAATATTGATGATGACAATTGAATAGATCTAATGAAATATCGATCATATCGTAATGCTGTTGATTGTATTCAGTAGTTCTAATAATGTTCTCTTCATCATACTGATCAATGGCTAGAGTTGAGAAGGCGTTTACCATTTTTACCCTTTATAAAAGAATGGCAACGTTTCTAGGATTTTTTTGTTGTTGAATTTATTAGATCTTGCATATCTAACTGACAAAATACGTATAACAGTTAACAGACATTGACCTGAGAGTGAATGTTTGATCTCTATAGCAAGTCAATCTTCACACGCTGCATTTTATTTGTAGGGAGAGAACAAAACTGAATGCTAAAATAAATACAGTATTGAGTAGTCTAGTAGAGTGAAAAGTAGGTATCATGGAATGGTAGCGTTTGTTCAACACATTTTCATCTCCTGTTTAAGTAGATCTTGGTCAATGATTAGCTTTGCGTTATTCATTAATTCATTGACATCCCAGGTGCAGTCCGAGAAGCGTCCTCTCAGAAAGTCGGCTTGTTCTGTTATTAGCCATACACAGTATCCAGCCGGCAGTTCAGGTGTATCCACGAATAGACATTGCATGCTCTCTGGCGCAGTTTTTGATAGTTCGGTCTTCACACCTCCTGGATGGTAGGTGAAAGCTCTCACATTGGGATACTCTGTATGAATGAAGTCCGTTATTCGATTGATGGCTGTCTTTCCAGGGTTATATGCAGAATAACCAGGCATTGTTATGACACATGCCAATGAGGATGTATTTATGATCGTCCCTTTGCCTCCATACTTCTTTAAGAAATATGTAGTGGGCAGATATGTTCCTTTGATATTGACTTCCCATGTGTGCCACCAGTCGGTCGAATCCGTCTCGGCGAGAAGGCGATGTTTTTCGGCAGTACCCGCATTGTTCACCAAGACATCCACATTACCTTGAATTGCACGGAATAAGGTATCAACTTGAGACTCATTTGTCATATCAGTTTGGATTTTCATGATCTCCACCTCGTTTGATACAGCTTTGACTTCATTTGCAGTTGCGTCCAATTGAGATGCTGTCCGTGCCGTTAGAATAAGCCGATCGGCCCCAGCATGTGCGAAAGCAATAGCAGCAGCCCGTCCAATGCCTCTGCCTGCACCAGTAATGAGAATAGTTTTTCCACGAGCCTTATTGGCTAATGTTGTCCGAGGATTGATAGTCTCATATATGTCATGATGAATAGTTTCGATAAATGATGGTTTAAGAGGAGCAGGCATGACTCTTTTGCGACTATAAACGACAAAGTGCACATGTTATCACGACGGTAACGTAAAGCAAGCAACCAGGTGATAGTTTGTAAATTGTGCTGTATTACATTTCACTATGAGGAGAACAGCAACGTGTAACAGTAGAACGAAAAAAACAAATTCTTGGCAATCTTGAAGAATTTGTAAAAGCTGTTGTGAAAGAAAAGAAATCCAATTCGGCGATAAAGTTTATTTCTATTGTAAATTCTACCTAATGCATAGATTGAAATGTGAGAACTTAAAATAGTAGAAGTGTTTCTCGTTAGATTCGTCTTACAAATAATAGTCTGACAATAAATATATCTATTTAATTGCTGTTTCATTCGATTGACATATGGATTCAAGCAATACGCTTGTACAGAAACAGATCTTTAATGTTCTCATAGAGCCTTTTGATACTTGAGGATATATTTCTTATTGAGACCATCAGGAAATGTAGTACATTTGAAATTTCATTGCCTATAAAATGGTCAGTGAATTGTCGTCTCTATCTCGAATGACGATGGTAACGATGCTTTAAAAATATCTATCTTAAAATGAATCAATAGAAGCTGACTTTTTTAAATAAAATACAAGCCATAGTTGACCTGGTAGAATTCTCGTGCAAAGAGGTTGATACCGTTTGTAACAGCACAACATACAGAAAACATGAGCCTATCCTGATGTGAGGTTTATTGTTCATGTTTGAGACTTAATAAACGAATTGCTGCTGTGTCAAATAAAAGGGGTTCTATTCGATTCGATTTGACTCCTTTTAAAAGAATCTTAATTCGATTCAGTTTCGGTCTTTGTTACAAAAGAGCTAAATCGACTTTTCAAGAACGAATATGAAAAACAGAAATATAAGTTATTGGATGTATTAATGAATTAAAATAGATACATGTACGTTACAAAGAATGAATATAAATTGAAAAAATAAAATGAAACAATCATCACAAACCAAAAATTTGAAATCTGATTGTTTGTCGTATTTCACGCAATGCTGTTTGAATTTCGAATGCTTTCTGTGTTAACGCTCTTTCTTGAAACATGTTTTCTAATATTTGTAATTTTATATTCTTCAGTTGAGAACATTCATTTACGAGAGTTTTCCACTCATGTATATCCAAGAATATTTCAATATCGTATTTATTGATGATAAAATGAACATATCGAATATTCTTCATTTGTTTGATAAGAATAATTATTGATTCCAAACAGCATGGTTTATTATATTCACAACAATTGTTCATTGAAATCAATGGAAATTGACCAACATCAAATAGGAAATACTCTACGTTAAAGTTTACTTTGTAGGATTTATTTGATTGATATATGTCATAATGAGTGCAAAGTGTACCTGCACAACGAATTTCAAATCGTTTGAATCGATACCAAAGTTGATTGAAAACGTTACTAAAGGTATTAAGATTAATTTCATTATCATAGCAGAGAGAAAGACAAGTCAAATTTGGAAAACATTTTTCATATTTATTGATTTGACTATCGTACGGTAAATTGAGGAGAGTCATTGAAATGACGTTTTTGAAGATAGATAAAGAGGTTAATTCAGTCTCTGACCACAGTCGATTTCCATTGAATTGTACAGAAACAATTTGTTCGGGTTTGATTTTTCGAAGAATCATTTTAATAGATAGAATATCAGGGTTAGATAATTGAAAGTTTGTTGAATAATTTTTTAATAAAGAAAGAATATTAATAGAGAATGCAGAGATGGCATCGTTTAATGAAAGATATTTGGCTGTTTCAAGAATGATTTCCCAACAAAGACCACTTGACCTAGCGAAATCAAATGACTTTTAAACGAATATATTTTTTTGTTTTTATATAAAAGACAAATAAAAAAAGACTCACTAGATCTTGTTCATTTTCATCACATTGCTTCTTGAAAAGACGCAATTGATTCAAAACTATTTCACAATTAGTTGACTTTTGTTTGCCCATTAAGTTGTCACTTTTAAGCAATGATTTGAATTGATAGTCAGATATTATTACTCCGTCTGTTTTATCTTCAAATCGTCGCATAATCCCAATCATCAAAGGCCATTCTTCAGTAAAAAATTCATCCAAGAATTCAATAGAAAATACTTCTTCCCAAATTTTCATCAATCTGATTACAAAAAAAAAAAAAAAATCAGTCTTTTAGTTTTATTTTATATCTCACTCACGAATTTTTATTTGACTGGAATGTTATATCCCAAGGCCAAACTATATAATTTTCAAGTAAATAATCGATAATCGTTGTTGAACAGAATATTGTTTTACAAAATATATTACTTAGTAGACTCTCGTCATTATGTATGTAAACAAGTACTGGACGACGCTAAAAAAAGATAAAAGATCGACCTATTTTATTTAAAGAAAAACAAAACAGATATGAACAAACTTCTTGAATTACGATCGGATTAAAAGCTGCTTGACATGCATCTCGAAGAGATCCTCTGAAGAATACAGGACAAGCATCGTAACGCTGTTCAAAACATTTCGTCAATGAATCAATGCCAACAATTTCATTTTCACATTTTGGAGGAACTTTTTATTTAATATATGTGTTCATCAATAAATCTATCTTTTCTATCAAAATAAAAGAAAAACAATTAACTTACAAGGAGTACTATTGCTGAATTCACGGTCATAATCCATGCTATCTTCATCGTTTTCTAGTATATTATCATCCTAGATAAAATATACATAGAATTATAATTAGTTAAATACATACTAACCATAGTGAATTTTCATTTACACGTTGTGACAAATCTTTTTGTTCGTTAACAAACGAGCGTAAGTCTTGTTACTAAAAACAATAAACAATTTTATTTATTAATTCACATAATAAAATTGTAGAAAAAAACCGTTTGGTATATTTTCATGAGTAGAAAATGACTCGTGCTTTTTATAATGGGAATATTTTTATGTGATATGTCGCAAAGTCAATAAAAATCAACACAACTGAAAAATACTCTTTTTTTTTGTTCTTTCTGTTTCACATTACAAGTTAAAAGAGAACATGCCATAGTTTACATGTGTTTTGTAGGAAAAGAAACCAGAATCGAGTAAACAAACGTTAAAAGATTGTCGATGTCAACCATCTGGTCAATTAATTCAAATGTCATAATAAATTAGCATAAATTATATAGCGTTTCGATAGTCACTAAGCAAGGAAAAATTTGAGTATCTCCGCCATATTTTGACCAAATGAGCTGAAAGTTTTATTATGGATAAAGGAGTGCTTATAGCTAATATTTATAAGAAAAACGTTGTTAAAAATCGTTTTAAAGTAATTACATTTGACTTTAACAAAGAATCTTAACCTTTCATGAGTTACAAGAAAAAAACAATATATTTATTCTCGTAGCCAAGAATAAACGACGTTTCATTTTCTTTTCGATTAATTTTAACTATAAACAGCAAGAATTTATTGACAAAACTACAATATTGATTTTTCATAACTCGCCATAGGTTAAGGTTCTTTATTGAAGTCAGTTGTACTACTTTACACCAATTTTTGACAATGTTTCTTTTTTGAATATAAACTATAAAAACCTCTTTATCCGTAGTAACAATATCAGCTCATTTAGGAGAGATATTCAATTTTTTCTTTGCTTGGTGACTTTCTGGACACCTTATAAATTGTTGAATTGTTTTTAAATTCGATCAAGAAGAGTAAAATAATGAAATACAAAAAACATTTACATGTATGTCGATAGAAATTCGATCCTTTCTAGTGAGAAAAGAAAAAGAGACAGACCAGCAAAGGCTAAATCTGCTTTACTAATACAATAATTCATTTTTCATCTTCTTTTTTTAAATATTCTTTAATTTTCTTCTTATCTATTCTGTAGTTCTTTGATTTATCTGCATTTGCTTTCTATTGATTTAAATTAAAAATTTTCACTACTACTTAAATGGTAGGTTTTTGCTTTTCGTTTTGTTGTGTAAATGAAAATTACCGAAGATCAATTAATTGAAATAGAAAAAATGCTATGTACGCGTATTTATATTTGTTAAGAGAAGAATCGTCTGCCAATAAATGAATAAAAAATAAATATCCCATTTTAATTCTCTAATTTATTCTATTTAGTTTTCTTAATACGACGTAATTGAATATAAGTTAAAACGAGAAAACCGATTGTGATTGAAATTAGTGCAACGAAATTTTTCCATAAATCCCAATTTGTCGAATGTTCAATATTGAGTTTAGTTAAGATTTCTGTACCAGTTTTTGTGCATATATCTGTATTATTTGATGAGCAGAGAGTTAAACCAGTGAATTCATTGATTAAAAGTGCATTTGATTCGTAACGAAATATGCTGAAATATTTAATGCATTGAAGAAAACTAACAACAGATGAAATTTCAACTAGAAATCCATCGAAGACAAGTGTCAATACACAAAAAAAGAGCTGCAACTAAATTGGCAACTCCTAGATCAATTTAAATCAAAATCTTGATCTCAAAAGCTTTTTAGCATCTAGGAATGTTGTCTCCTCAGACCGGTATCCTTATGACTAGGAATGGACCGTTACCTTAACTTGAAATTAAGTTAAGTTTTTGAAGTGTTAATAACAAACTTACTGCTTAATATTAAGGTTAAGTGATTTCGTTAAGCAAATAGCATTTAATTTCAAGTTTTTCATTAATCCTAAATGGACGCACCGTACTATGGTTCGTATCATATAAAAGAGAACCCCTGATAACCCATGATCGACTCCGAACATCATTAGGTTTTATCCTTACAATGGTAGAGAAGGTAGTTTCCTTGAATCTGATGGATCGAAAGAAAAGAGGCATCAACCAATCAGATTCTAGTAGCGGTTTGGTCGTCTGTTGTAAGGACAAAACTTATTGCTGTTCGGGACCGATCAGAAGTTATCAGGGATCCTCTTTTTTATGGTTGAAAAATAGCATGGTATGTCCGTTTAGAAGTAATGAAAAGCTTAATATTGAATGATTTTTGCGTAAAGACATCACTTAAACCTAATTTTAAGTCAGTTAAGTGTTTAGTACAAAAAAATTGAACCTAATATTAATTGTTAAGTAATAAGACTAAGTTAAATTTTAAGTTCAACTGAATGGTCCACCCGTACTAATGACTATAATCGATTCTGGTGAATTATAATCAGTATTGCTTGATTTTACTCGAAAAAAAACGTCCACTACTGATGAAAATTGGTTACTACTAAAAATTGATTTTAATTGATTAATAAAAAATCGTTGATTATCGATTACGCACGCTATAAATCTGTTTCAATCAATTACATTGAAGAAAACGATTGTAATTGATTAAAAACGAATGATTCCTAATCAATTATATGGGAAAATCCATTATAATCTTGCATTTAATAAAAACAAATCGCAATTACTTGATTTTCATCTATTACGGTATTACGCATGAAATCAATTAAAATCGTGTATCTGTTGGTTTTTCTATTTGTTATTTTATATGAGTACTTAGACAACCGTTTCATTAGTCCTGAATCACTCGTTGCTCCATTTCGAACTCAATTTTGGGTTCGTACTAAATGTTGGTTTGTAACATGTGCATACGCTCCACTATCAAGTGAGATCTGGTTTTATACAACTCCTATCAACATCATTCAGAGCAAACCATTACTCAGATGTGAAGTATCGTGGATGAACAAAACCTATCGACTGACTCAACAATTACTCGATACAATGATTGACAACACTTCAGATGAGTTATGTGAGAAAATTTGTTTAAAACCAAAGCTGATCATCGTATGAGAGCTGGACAAGCACAGGATTTCTCGAGTATGACTATGAGTACTGCGAAAATCGTACTCGAGAACGAGAGTATCGAATATGACTACTTCTGGACATATGTTCAACGCTGTTAACACATANTAGAGCAGCTTTTAGCTCGTGCTTTAGTTCCTCTTGTATATAGGTGAGCTAGATTTTCTTCTATTTATCTTTTGTAAACTTGAGCAACATTTAGTATTCGCTACTATCCTATATTTGTCTCGTTACGACAACGAGATCGCTATGTTCGCTTTTTTGCTTTTATCTATATTATGGGCAATATTACATATATTATCATTCGTAGATGTTCATGCATGGATTTCCTACCTCTTTCTAAAAAATTTTCAACATTTGATGAAGCAAAACGTCGATTGGTATGTTACACGTTTTTTTCCCTAGAAACATTTCTTCAAATGAATCATGCAAATAAAACCATTTAGGAACTTGGTCATTGGATTATCATTTATGGATTGTGAAAAAATGGGCCACAATTCCTGTTACTTTCGTATATTGGTGCAGAAATTGCCGTTCGTTTTTTTTATGATTCCATATTTTGCAAGATACAAACTAAACGAGGGACCGAAGCGGCACTCACTCCAGGTACTGAATTTAACATGCACTTTTCAACAAGTTCGTCTACAGGTCCTCCAACTAACGACAATTCGCCTTTAATAAGTTCGTCGTGTATGTGGAAGTTTATCAATCAAATCTATCCATGGGATAATGATTTTCGATTTACCACTATGGGTATGTGCGCATATACAGTAGCCTTTGTCTTACTTTTTTATTTGACATGTATGTTCGCCTTTCAACCCATTATGGAAACGAGTTCGACGTCGTTTGTAATACTTTGTTTGGAGCAAATCCTGAATATTGGTGAGTTCATTTACTATTGTTCAATCAATCAATGGCCAATTTTTTTAGAAATAGACCAACCGTCGTTACACAATGAAATTGTTTTTAGTGCCATCTTCACAATGATCATCTTTAGTATTCAGCTGTTTCAAGGAATGAAGAGTTATAAGGAACATACAGCACAATTAAAACAAGACAACTATGAAGATATTTTATCAAAGTCTAAATTAGAAGCAAACTCGATAGCTCCCAAATCCGTTGAATATCTCGGTTGTGTTTTTCTAAATGTAGTCGGTGGCTTTTTCATTTGGTTTCATATCATTCTATTTATTGTTACGATATGCAGTCTGTTTTTATTTCATGCTTTTACACTTCAAATCCATCGTCTTGACTTCATATTTTCATTAACTGCATTTATTGCACCTGTTTTGATTTTATATGGATTGAAAACTTGTATTACACGATGGCTATGTATATTCACCACATCTCATCAATCTGAAAACGAACATTACATGTTGAATAAGGATGTTTATGCAGTTCTAGTTTATCTAACACTCATTTTTAGTAAGTTATTTTTCAAACGGTCGAGTTAAATAGATAATATGACATACGTTTATTGTTAGGTTGTCAAATCGCTATTTTTTCTTCTATTTTCCGTCTGACCAAGGGAATTTTACTTAATATTTTACTAATGCCTCGATTTGACTGCAGTTATTTTGGACGCAAATGGGAGAAATCTGGTAAGATTTTGAACAATAAGATTTTTATTAGCAAACAATTTTTTTTGTACTTAAGTATCTTTCTGAGTATCTGATCAATCTTATTATTGCTACACTTATCATTTAAAAAAAGAATACCACGTTCTACATTGGTCAGCTACTATATATATATACTGATAAGAACAAGTGGCCAAGCGCGGTAAAGGAAATTTTGATAGTGTTAATTAAAAAGAAAGGAATCAATCATTTAATTGCAAATTGAGAAGTTAAAGCTAAAGTTTGAAATGTGAACAATCACTAAGCCCCTTATCGATTCGCAAAAAATATCACATAAAATAGACATTTATCCACACTATTTTTTCTTTATTAAAACAAGAAGACATGGACTACTTAGATAATATATACTTTATGTTAGCTAAATAAAATTTCGTTGAGATATTCTAATTTAGATAGTGCATATATGGCATATGTGTCTTACTTACATATGGAAAAAACTTACAGACAACCTGCTCAATCTGAATCTGTATCAATCCCAACCGAAAACATGACTGAAGAACCAATAGCAATACAGCGCAATCCAATTGCTATAATTGCAGACGAAAACTATGCAGATCTAAGCGACTCTGATACTATAGCTGGAGAGATACTCGGAGAAGAAGATTCTTATGATTCACCTGAGGGAGAAGAACCTGGCGTTTCTGATAATGATGATGCATCATCAGTAGCATCATCAATATATCAACGAAGAAGTATCATTACCACACCGGGAGATCTTACATTACCTATATCTCCTAATGTACAGTATAGACCTAATAATAGTCAACAACGTTTAACAAATCCGTCAACTACAAGAGCAGCAGATGAGCAAAGATTAGCATGTACATCGGAGCGTGATCACCGTGATTCCAAAAGAAACTTGGATCACGTTTCAACTCTTCCTGAACAACAGCCGCTAATGTCATCGGCGCACATGGATAGTGAAGAAGAAGATAGGCCACCAAAACTTCCTTTGAAAACTTACAAAACGACTGACATAGAATCACGCGATAATCACTTCAATTCCAGTGATGTCTAAGTTGTTTGAACATTAAATGCACTTTTCACTACGTCCCATGAATACGAGATTTTAAGTTTATTTTTAGACTTCTAATTTATCTTCCAGCTTGAATCTATAATTCAGCAGATGAGGGTATGATTGGTGTGCGTGGGTGTGGCTGTGGCTGTAGGTTTAATTCACTGAAAGTAAAATCTAGATTATTATAATAATTTATGGACTTTTTACGATAGTTGTTGAAGTGTTTTGTCGTTTTGGTAATTATCGAAATCTCTTGATATTGCTTGATACTTTCTCGTACTCTGTAGAGTACAGGTTTCAAGTTTTCTTATAAGACACAATGACATACGAAGCTTTGCATTATTCACTCAACAAGTCAGTCAAATAATAATGATTGTTTTCATGATCGAATTTATGCGAGAACGTATAGTTCATATGCCATCTACGTAATCTGATTATGAGCTTGTTAAGGATAATAGAATAAACATGTTGAAGCATCCACTAAAGAAGTTTAACTTAGCTGCATTGCTTCATCTGTCCATGAGCAAGATTTAATCCATAACAATTTATGATGTTAATTTAGTCATCGAACAATATTCTGGGCACTTCATTCTACATACGTACAAAAGTTTTAAGAAATTCTTTGTAAAAAAAAGAGAGTATACGTCTCGATTTGTAATGTTTGAAAACATGTTGGATGTAAAACTTAATACCCGAATTCCTCTGTTACAAAACAACAAATAATGGACTATTCTCAACAGAAGTTTATAGATATAGGTAGCATCGATTCTTACAAGAATCTATATGAAATGTACGAGTAGTTCTGCTAAAACTATGGTTTACCAAGAAACTTGACATTGAGAGTCTTTTTTTTGATCGAACTGGATATAATGTGGACGTGAAAAGACGTATGTGCACCCACACCTACACCCTTAGTTCTTTTTCACAAAAATTCTTTGAAATCCAACAGATAATAATAATTTATTTTAAAAATTAGATTTCTTTGAAGACCAGCTATTATATACATATAATTTTATCTCATATAACACTTGATAATTACAATTGAAGGCAACAAGCTCACCTTCACTATACATCGTAGCATATGCTTTGAGATCAAAGATTCTTTATTGAAGAATGACTCATACTCTCTATAAATTGCAATAATATTTCTAAAAATAAAATAAATTTTTATTCAAACTTTTTAAAATGATTTATTTTCTATACGTGCTCTCATTCACCAAGTAAGTCTTTATAAGTTAGATTTCAAATTTAATCGTTTAACAGAAAACTAATAAAATTGCCGAATTTATAATGAACCAAAAATGTAAAACATTTCACTTTTTTGTGACATATGTCAATCGCTTCGTTCGAAGCTGTCCGAACAACGAATTTTCTCTATATGCAGAACGTTCAATTGGATCAATCGAATAACGCTGTCAGTCTCCATTATGTTACATTTTTTTATGCTAATTATCGATCATCTATTACTACCTTAGTGTCCAAGTGTTTTTGACTAACTCAGCAAAATTACTTCATGTTAATCTCTGCCCACTTATTAAACATATTAAAAGAAAATGAGTTTAAAAAAAAAGAAAGCTTTTAGTTACGATCAAAAAGAAATATAGCACACGAAATTCACAATTAAAATAGTATATTTCTTAGGTGTTTGCAAATGATCCTTCATTCATTAACTTATTACTGCAAATATGATTGATATCTTGTTTAGTACTTCTACTCCAACGTATTGAAAACTTGGCATTTTCTTGATATTATTATCATTTTTTGTTCTTTACGAACAAAAAAGTACAAAGTGATTTAAAATTTTCTTATGTGATTTACACAAAAAGAAGATGACTGCATCAATTTTACAACATTAATCATATTAAAAAGTGCATCTCTGAAATACACTCTTTGACTCAAATCAATTAAAATAAGTAACAATAGATACAAAATCAAAATGATCTACTATGACACGACACGTGAACACGCAAGTAGGACATCCACGTGAAGACACCTTGAAATCAAAGACTATTTAAGACTAATTGCACAAGTTATACGAAGAAGATACGAACAGTCACGATGAAATCACTATTGTTTTGGTCATATTAATTGATATCTGTTCGAGCAGTTAGCAGATCATCAGTTTTTTTATTCTAACATCATAGATTCATGTTATCGTAAAATGTCATATTGATGTTTACATTGCAATCATCGTTATAAAGAAAAAACAAAACAACAGAAAATCGAATTTATCCGATTGTGATTGGAGAAAACAAATCTTCACTAATGATGTTTATTATGGACTGTTTGACTTCCTTCCGGTTTAGGAAGCTGTCTTTCATTTCATTGGTATACAAAAACACAAATTTCAGCCGAAGCTCATACTCGTTGTTATCGATCCATTGCATCGATGATGTTATCTTTCTCTTTCTCATTTCTAAATATTGTGAAGGCACTTCGTCATCTTGCTAAGTTCTGCTTATAGACGAGAAAATATGAATGAGAAACAAGTAGGGGTGTGGGTGTGGACGTGGATCTGGATGTGGGCACGGGTATTTATGTACTCCTCATACTCACACTCACACACCCACATAACATACTTTTGATCTTACGTGTAGGTCTTTCGCAAAAAGCAGAAACGTTTGTAGTTTTCGCTCACGGTGACTCATCTCAAGGTGAGAAAATGATTCCAATACGATATGACCAGTAATCTAAAAAGTCTTGAATTGTTCTTGTTCGAATTTATCTGGCCAACAACTGCCGAATTTCCTGGCCTTCTCCTCGGAACTTCATTGTTATTGCTATGCTATATAGGATATGCTGTTTACAAACAATGAAATATCCAATTAGAATCTTTAGAATTGTTCCCATAGCTTATTATTCATGACATTGGTCCCACAATTTCAATAGTTTGAAACTATAAATTGCCTCATGTATCTTTCAATTTAAATTTAAATGATTTCTTTTAGGACGCTGAACATGAATTCTGAAGTGATGTCTCTTAACTTATTCGAACATAATCATTCTATCAACAATGCCTTGAATTATATTTATGTCAAAATGCTGAAAAGTGAAACGTTAGTAATAAACGCTGAATTATCTGACACAGTTCAAACCATAAAGAAAAAAATCAGTAATGTAAAACAGCTTCCACTCGAACAACAACGATTACTTTTTGCCGGAAAGCATTTGTCAAATCCGTACACCCTGAACGACTATCATTTGACGAGAGGACAAGTGCTGCATTTTGTTTATCCTCTCTATGGAGACATGCAAATCTTTGTCAACACACTAGCTGGAAAAACTATTACTTTAGAAGTGGAACCGAGTGATGCCGTCGAAAATGTAAAAGCAAAAATTCAAGATAAAGAGGGTATTCTACCTGATCAACAGCGATTGATTTTTGCTGGCAAACAACTTGAAGATGATCGAACTTTGTTAGATTACAATATTACAGAGGAAAGCACGCTAGAGCTTTTTTTACGAAGTGAGCCAAATCAAACTACTTCTCGTGATGCATTAGGTATGGAAAAAAGCATAGAATTATAAATCTATGAAAAAGTTTGATTGCTTGCTTATAAGCTCTCGATGGTATTCATTACAAATTTATCTTGAGAACTATCAGGAAATATTTCTCGTGATTGGTTATCCTTCCTGATAAAACTATATTAAAGAACTAGATCTCCTTTTAATGCGAACTCAAAAACAGCTTAACATTGATCTTGCATTTTCAAAATATGTAAGAGGTGTATTTCTAAGCAAGTACTCGATATATATATATGTCTAGTTAAGTTTTATTGCATTATAATAAAATGCAATGTTTGGTGTTGTAACATTTGATTGAACAAAAATCAAGGCAAATAAATATTTACTGTGTATATTTCTATTTTAAAAGGAAAATATGCATTGTAGAATCTTTATACGGAAACAAGGGTTGTTATGCATTGATGCTACTTAGCTTAGAATTCTGTTAGAGACAATTTTATCAAAGTAGAATTCGATGAGAAATTAATTTCTCTTCTGTTTTAGCAACAACAGCATCGGTTATAAGTAAACTGGATAATATTTCGAGAGGGAAGAGCAGTAGGAAATAAATAATAGAAAAGAAACGAGATAACTGCTGTGAAAATCATATTTATTTTTGTGGGTGTGGGTGTGGGTGTGGGTGTGCGTATGAGTGTGGGTGTGGGTGGCGTATGAGTGTGGGTGTGGGTGTGCGTATGAGTGTGGGTGTGGATTTGAGTGTGGGTATAGATATGAGTATTCTTTGTGTTAACACCCACACTCACCCACCCACACTCACACCCACCCAGTCCCACACCCACACCCACACATTCCAAATCAGCGTATACTTCTATACTCATGATAAACATGTTGTGTGCTCTATGCGTTATATCATTTACTTCTTATTCCCCATATCTTTTCGTTTCTGTGCCAAATGATGTAAATTAGACATATCATAAAACCCAGTGTTGAGTATCGACTAATTGAAACCTGACTTATGGGATTTATGACTATCAAAAAAAAATTGAATCAAAAAGAGCACCTGTATGCTACATATAAAAATAAAAGGCATCATCAACATTTTATTTGATCACAGTGCTAGCAATGGTCTCCATAACAACTCAATATTTTCTATTCGTTCTTCTAAGGTAAACAATATTTTATTTATTTTTGAATTTGTCTAACATTTAATAATTTATATTTTAGCTTAATAGGTTTGCATTTAGTTTTACATATATTTCTAAATAATTCGTTGTTTCGTAGTTAGTGTTTACAGTCAAACATGTCAAAGTGCATCTCAATATAGTTCATGTTCATTGAATATTGCATGCAGATGTTTACAATTATCATTTACTGATGATATGGGTATTTGTGCTCTTCTTGGAGTAAGTTGCTCTCGACTTCATCCATGTCAATCACCAGATGACACTTGTGAATCAAATCACATTTGCGTTCGTTATCCTCAATGTAATTCAACTTCTCTTTGTTATCCATTATCAATGGTTGATCAACGATTATGTCCACCATCAACAACAAGTAAAACACATTTGCTCATTTTATTTCAATTTGAATTATTTGAAATAAGTCTTAGTGATTCAAAACTTGGTTTAAATCATTCACTTTCTGAAAGTGAGGGTGTGAGAAGACTAAACACAGGAAAAATCGATGTTCCTCTTGATAATAAGCCCGTTGAATTAAATAATCCATCGAAAATATTGTGAAATCATTTGAACATAAAATTTATCAAAAAACAAATCAGTGACTGTCCACTTGATATTCAATCAATTTTAGCCAGAACTCTATCATATGTAATCTCGATACTGTTAGAATTGAAACCAGAACAAGAATCACTTTGTCCATATTTAATATTAATCTTTTAAGTAAGTGAAATCAATGAAATAGTCAATTGTAGGTAAAGTCAATGACTTATGTAGTTTTATTTCCATCTTATCATAATATTCAACAATAATTAATCAAATTAATTGAAAGAATAGTGTAAATAATGCTTTCTTGCGAGCAGAATTCTTCATTTGAAATCACCTTTAGATCCGTTATATCATCTACAAATTTGATGTTTTTAATATTCACCTCTTCATAGACAAATTAAAACACGGATTGAAAAAATGAATTTGAGAAAGTGCTCTTACATTCTGATTCCTGGACTTCGAAGATGATTGGTGAAAGTTTATAAAACATGTACCTATCGGACATATAGCCTTTTACATAATGGGAAAATCAGAGTCATAAATATCGAGAAACCGTCTTTAGATTCAGATCCCTTGACCCCGAAAATTTTTGGTGAAACTTAATAAGGCATTGGAGAAATCTCGTGGATACTTCACGGCTGTTTCTTTTTTATTTTTGACCTTTGATCCGATATCAGACGCACAGGCACTCGACATTAGCATATAGATTATCCTTTTCTATTTTATCACACCAAGGAAATGAACAGAAAGAAAAATCAAAATACGTGATTTTCTGCTCTCTTCGGGTGAATACCTTCATTTTCAGACTTCATAAAATAGAATTTAAAAACAAAAGGAACTCGTTACATTTATTTTCATATTCACAAAACATTTCTTCAGTTTGTTGCTAAATCGCACAAAGACGTTAAATGGTGGTTTAAAAAAAGAATGAATTTTATGAGCATATAAGATCATCATTGTCTCGTTCGTATCTCTAGTGTCCACTTCAACAACGACAACAACAACAGAAGGATATCCATGGCCAACAACAACAACAGAAGGATATCCATGGCCAACAACAACAACAGAAGGATATCCATGGCCAACAACAACAACAACAGCAGGATCACCATGGCCAACAACAACAGAAGGATATCCATGGCCAACAACAACAACAGAAGGATATCCATGGCCAACAACAACAACAACAGCAGGATCACGATGCCCAACAACAACAGAAGGNAAGAGTTAAACATCCACACCCACATCTGTACAGATAAGAGCTTTCTACTATGGTAGCATAAATTCCTCATAAATTCTTTTTCTGAAAATCCTTCGCAGGAAGTTTTGACCAAGTTCCTAGAACGTTCCAAGTGAAGCATCAATATATGAAACGCCAATATATCAAACTGATGCTCTCCAGAACTTTGATTTCCCGGTCGTCAAAAAACGATTTCATTCAGCAAGTTCATTTTAGTTTCAGAAAAAGAATTTATGAGGAATTTATGCTACCATAGTAGAAAGCTCTTATCTGTACAGATGTGGGTGTGGATGTTTAACTCTTTTTTTCCCTAATACATAAGCTTGTTTCGATTCATAGATATTTCAAGAATGCCTGCAGCTTCTAGATAATCAATGCTTTGGTCAGAATATCTCAGTCTATCTACTCGAACCTCAGTCGATGTCGAAGTGAACTGAGCCATGTGATGACAGTTATATATATAGAGTGAAGTCAGTCCGCGATGTTCGTCGTGTTAACTAATAACATTGCCTTGGACACTCTCGCAATCGCATAGAATGTCACAGAGATTATGTTGAAATAGGCTGAAAACCTAAAGAAGTACATGGACTCGAAAAGAAAGGAATACAATGTTAAGTCTCACAAGTTGTATCCATGAAACTTTTTAGTGATCAGGCTAACGCATTATTCTTAAGAAGTATTGTTGATGGACAGCTAATAGCATTAGCATTATTTGCTACTAATTCTCATCCTTACGGGAGAAACGCTAAATGTAAACGACTGTTCACGTTGGTGTACGATAGAAAACGTTGAGCACTCGTTAACATTTTTACAGCTAAAGGATACGACGACATATGATTTTTTCGTATTCTTTCTTCTTTCCATTTTCCCCCTTTAGTTCCTTTTCTTATAATCTTTTGTTATTCTTTCTTATTTCAGTATTTTTCTGTTCCCTGTTGTTGAAAGTGTCATATTCCAGAAGGAAGTCACATGAATGAAGTTGTATTGATGTTACTCTCCGTTCTTTCTTCTGACATTTTAAAATTGTTCTCATTTTCCCATGTCTTTATGTCAGTTCTTCCAAGCGTAAAAATAAACAAAAAATCCCACAAAAAACTCTAAAAGTTCTTATTCATTAAAAAGAAATAGTAAAACTATAGGCGTAGCGAATTCTACAAACTGTAGATAGGCAAAAGCAAGACGGAATCTACGAATTTTCTCGAAATTGTTATGAGTAAATTTTCAACAATTTACAACAAACGAAAATCTCAAACTTTCCATTATATTTCACTCAAATAATTTCAATCAAAAATAAAAGCATATAAATTGAGTAAAACGATTCTTCAATTTCGATTTTATGTTTGCACATCATAGTACACGAGGTAAGTAAACTGCGCACAGCTCTTTGTTTGCTTTTTTATGTTATTTTAGTAGAAAGAAAAAGAAAAATACCATTTAGTCGATACATACTTTTTATTACAATCGATAGTTGTACATAGCAACCTTTCTCATTCTGTCATAACTGTACACGTTACTCGCAATCCAATAAAAATTCATTTCAAGGCCACAAGCATCACATTCTTATATAAATACAGTTCGATTTAGACACGACAATGACTGACAACAAGTGGCCACCACCCTCTCCATTGGCTATCGATGGTTTGAACAAGTTTCTTTCCATATTCGATCATAGCTTCATTCATTCTGCTATTTGGACATTTACGCAGCTGAATATTGCTGATGAACTGGCAACGGTCGAATCGAGTAGTGCCAAAGAAATATGTGAACGAACTGGTTGGAAAGATGTCGATCGACTTCATCGTCTTTTGAATGCGGCCATCGTGGCTGGACTTGTGGAAGCAACAGAGACTAGTCGCTTCAAGCTTACATCAACTGGACGCCTTTTGACGACCGATCATCCATCTAAGGCTCGCTCTTTTGTTGTAGAAAGTAAGTCTATAACATGTACATTTTGAGAGAAAACACAAAAAAGCAACGATGATCTAAAGAGATCACTACAGCTCTTATTAAGCCACTCTTCCATCAGTTTGACATCTCCACATTTTAAGATCGAGCTTACTGAAACGTTCAGCATTAGAAGACCCCTAAATGAACCTGAAATGGTTCAACGTTAAGGCTTCAAATATTGAATTCCTCAGGATTCATGGCATCATCAATGGCACAAAGACAAATCTTTAGAGCTCCTTTGAAATATTATAAGTATATATAGTTCGTCCCTTTAAATTGGAACATGTCCATGTCTATGTAGTTTCACTCACCTACATTGACATTCATACTCACACCTGCACCTTGATTAGGTGAATATTTCATTTTCGTTCGAGCCTTACGTCTTCTGGAATAAAAACGAATTACAAAAATGGGAAACAGAGAGACAAAGGAGAAAAAACAAGTGGAGAAATGAAGTGTTAGATGGAATGATCGATATCTGTTCGATAAAGTGGGCAGATATCAGGACTAGAAAAGTTCTTGCTGTGGAATCGAATTACTCTTACAATCCTATTCAGTTGTTTCTTTCTTTTATTTGTCAGTGATCCCAGCTGGCATGGGACCATGTATAGTTGATTTGATTCAGCTCCGTCAAGACGCTAATGTTGAAAAGTCAATGAATAATTCTGATCCTATGAAGGCTTATTACTCAGAGATGTCAGACAATGAGATAACTCTTTATGCAGGATCCATGACAATGTTTTCATTTGCTACGGCTTCGGCTATTATTGACAACAACACAGAATTTTCAATGTGTCACACACTTGTTGACATAGGTGGCACGTGTGGTACGCTCTTGGCACATATTTTGGCTCGATACACAAGCATCAACAAAGGTATCGTTTTCGATTTACCAATCATTATCGAAAAGGCTATCGTAGAAAACCAATTCGCTCAACTTGGTATTGCACCCGATCGATACGAATTTGTAGCCGGAAACATGTTTGATGCTGCTACGATTCCTCAAGCCGATGGCTATTTGTTGAAATATATGTTACACAACATGAGTGACAAAGATTGTTTAACAACATTGAAATCTGTATCCACTGTTGCTCGTCGGCCGGCTATAGTGTACGTTATTGAACGCATATTTGACGACTTGCATTCTTCGGATGCAGTCCGTCGTCAATGGAAGGCACATGCTCTGGATATTGTACTGCTTTCGGATGATGGAGCGCGTGAAAGAAAATTGAGCGAATACATCGCGTTGCTCCAACAAACAGGCATGACATTTGTAAAGTTACAAGAAACGACTGGTGTTGAAAGGATTATTGTGGCACACATCGATTAAAATGACAACAGTTGGGTAAGATCATTGGATGCAGCCTTTTTCGTCGGTTAAATCTGTTGATTAGATTGAACACTTCGGAAAATAAATTGAATCTCGATGTTTGCTTTTGAGGTATATCGAATGAACATATTTATCCGATAACATCATGTAAAACTGGTAAATTATCATCAAGTGCAAGGAAGCAACTGGAGCGCAGTATTTTAGCACAATTTTTGACAACATTCTTGCACATATTGAAACGTGACTATCAAATAAATGTCTCCAGCTGTGTAGTGGAGATTTTCATAAGATATAGTAGCGTTTGTCATGTCAAGTATACTCACTTCAAATCTAAGTAATTTCTGTGTTCGAACTACTTTGAAAAAAAGCTACAGTCACAGCATTTTCTGAATACGGAACGGATGGATGTTCGGTGATGTGTAAGATATGGATAGATGACGAAACTATTCATATCAACACTCTAAAGTTCAAAGATCCCGTAACATTCTCTGAGTAATCATAAACCTATGAGAGTACATATGTGCCTTGAAGGTGAATCGTATAAAAACGACAAATCAAACAGCTGATGGGTTTAAAACTTTAAAAGAATATATTAGGGTATTCATCAACAAATACGAGAGTTTATTTCCCGGCGCCAATATTTTACAACATAGTCATAGACATCAAAATAATTCCATGTAGCAATAATGGCTATACGCTTAAGAAAGCCAGCCATGTGCGATTTCATGAATTATCTAGGAGTTGAGTGTGAATATGGATATGGTAGTGAATCTCTTTATTGTCCTTCATCACCACCAAAACCTTTCTCCAAGTATTTGCTGCAGTAGAATTATTACAGAGTTTAAATGTTATTCTCAGGCATAATTCGCTCTTGTGGGTTTACAGAAACGATAGAAAGATGAGTGGATCATTTCCTTCATGCGATGTCACTTGCTTTAGTATATGTTTTCGGATCGAATCGCGTAACTCGACTCGTGTCAAACATCATCAAATCGAGAGCTTTCGTAGCTGTAGAGACTCGAGGGAAATTAGAACTTTTCGAGCGTGTGTGAGTTTTAAATTGCTAGATATGGATGAGTTTTATTCATCTTCGTACATCCCACACTCACAGTCACATCCACATCCCCAAGATATAATGAGCGCTTAGAGGTTTGATGTGGGAGAAAACAAACTGAATATGGTGTATAAAAGGTTCTGATGTCGTTTAATTCAACATTTAGCTGTACTCAAAATCAATCAATTTGTTACGTAGATTATCTTTTAGTTAGAGATGTTGCATGACGTTGGTATAATAAAAACTTCTGATACAAATCACGTATGAATAGAGTCCCCTTTTGAAACTGATGAAACTTGAAATCAAGAAGATCTTATTCCTCCATCAATGATAATACTCTGTCCAGTCATATAATCAGAGTCTTTGCTAGCCAAGTACGAGACAAAGCTTGCAATATTCTCAGACTGACTTGTACGACCAAGAGCTATCACGTTGTTTGAGTAATATCTCATGATCTCTTCCTTTTGCTTTCCTTGAATTTTTGCCAATTCTTCGTAAAGCATATCCAACATCGTAGTTTCGGCAAAGCCTGTGTTGTTTGTTAGATTCGTATTTTAGAAAAAAAACCTGCACAGTAAGCATTGACTGTAATCTTGTGTTTAGCCCATTCCATAGCAGCATCTTGCGTAAGACTGCGTAAACCCCATTTACTTGCACTATAATGACTCAGCATTCGACCTGATGTATATCCGGCAATACTACAGACACCAGTGATTTTGCCTCCTGTGCCTTGTGCAATCATGACTTTAGCAGCCTCTTTGTAGCAAAGAAACACACTCCGCAAGTTGACTGCCAACATCTTATCCCAATCTTCAGTAGTAATATCAAGAATCGGTTTTACTTGAGCAATTCCTACATTGGCGACTACGACCTGTGTTATTAGTTTGAAAAAAAATAAAATAATCGTGGAAAAAAGATATGCCTACGTCCAAACTGCCTAGTTGTTTTGCAGCATTCTGCATCATTGTTTCGACAGTTTTATCAATAGAAACATCAGCAGTGATAGCGATGGATTTTCGACCCATTTTTTTGATTTCTTGTTGAGTCTTATTGAGACCGGAAGAGCTTGCTTTGATATCATTGACAGCAACATTGAGACCATCTCTAGCAAGACGAAGAGCAATGGCACGTCCAATTCCTCGAGCAGCACCAGTAACAAGAGCGTTGCGAGACATCTTGCACAGTAAAACATGAGAATGAGAGAAAAATCATAAGAAAGATTTCACTATTCTCTTGCAAAATAACAATGTAAAACTCTTCATACAAACAGTAACGTGTTTTTTAATAGCCAAAAGCAACATTTTCTGTACCTAGTAACCTACAGTCTAGCAGGAATTTGTTACGATTACATGAAAATGCCAGCCTAAAAACTAGGCTTTTGGTATCTATCATCTATCGGGGGGTTACATTCTTTGATATGTGTTCCAGAAAGAAGAGCGAAACATTTAATAAGAATCAAATCTACTCAGATGTGCAATTAAATAAACCAATACTATTTGCCGGCTCTTTTATAATAAGTAAGCATATAATACTGATGATTCGATGGCGAAAAGATATATCATTTTTTTTGCCTACAAATGTTATTTTTGTTTTGTGTTTTTTTATCTTATAGGTTGTCAGGTGAAAAATAGTAGCGATGGATTTTTGTAATCAAACACACTTGCTTTTTGTTACAAACCGACATTCCACACCTTTTTAAAGTGACTGCTTTGCATTGATTTGCGAGTTTTCAATTTATTCAAATTACAGAAAGTTCGATAGCTTCTTTTTTTCTGAATTCATGCATATTTTTTCTTTCATTTTTCTGCAAAAGATTATGAAATGATTTAGTGTGACTAGTTGTCAGTACAAATTTCGAGCAAGTCAATTAGAGTTCCTACACGTTTCCATTCTTTTTGAACTCTTCTCTTTCACTGAAATATGATGTTGAAAAACAAATAAATAAATAATCAAATGAGTCATTTTTTCCTTACTAAAGCATTATTCTCCATTGATAATGTGTATATAATGGAAGAAATATGTCGAACTGGCTGTTTTTTCCCACTATGTTAATATTCATTTCAATTCATTATCTATTTCTAGCACTCATTATTGACAATATTTTAGTCATTAGTTGATACGTTTGAATGATATTCAAAATCTGATTTATACTTCTTCATTGAATATTTCGACCATTTTATTCAGTTATTCTCAGCAAATTCATAACCAAACAATAATAAAATGATTTACTTATACTTACCTTATTAAAGCATATCCAACGGCTTCTATAGAACGGAAAAAAAATGAAAGACACACAAACGTATTTTACTCTTTCTAATATTAAACATTTGAGATTGACAAGAGTGAGTGACATTCAGATACATTTTAGTTTGTTCTGCGGAAGATATTGCGTATGAATTAAACAACATGTATAACTGAATATCTCTTGATGGTCGTTGAAACGTATTTAATAAAGGAGAATTCTCAAAAAAGGAAATATTTTCTCCGATTTTCAATAGCACATTGCATTCGCTGAAAGTAAATTATGGATTATGATAATAATTTATAGAATTCCTCATTTATGTCCGAGATAATGGAAGTGAGATGAGGCACCAGTCTGGATAGTTAAATATAGTAGTGAGTTTTTGTTAATTTAATAGTTGTCGATTTCGAGCTTTCTGATTCAAAATAGTGACACTGAAGCTTTGTACTATTCATTCAGCAAGTCAACTAAGAATTAGCACTAATTCTTATGATCGAGTCTATGCGACATCTCCAATCGTCTTTTTTTCCTTTTCACTGATCGATAATTCAAATATGAAGATGCTTCACACCTTTGTTGCACTCAGAACGTAGCTCCTGTATCATCTACGTAATTTGATTGTCTGCTTGATGAAGATACTGAAATAGACAAGTCGAAACATCCAATAGAGACGTATAAATCAATCGCATTGCTTCATATAGTCATTGACAAAACAATTCATAAAAGTATTTCATGTTGATTTAGACATCGAACAGTACTGTGGTTGTTTCATTCTACATATATACAGCCATGTCAAAGAATTCTTTGTGATAGCAGGGAGTGTACAGTTCGATTTGCAATTTTTGAAAACATGTCATATACGAAAAGTGATACCCAAAATTCGTATGGTACAAAACAGCAAATAATCAACTATCCCGAATAGAAGCTTATAGAAATAGGCATACAATTAGTTCCGCTAAAGCCCTAGTTTGCTAAGAAATTCAGCATCAGGAATCATTTTTTCATTGAATTTTGAGCATCATTGAGAAGAAGATGCGAATGTGGATGAACATACAGGTGAGTGTGAGTAAATGGGTGGCTGTATACATTTAGAAAATTCTCGCTTTTACCAATATCCTACATCGACACACACGCTCACAAATGAGCAATAGTCTACACACTTCCATTCCCAACAGGATAACTAATGTAGACAAATGAATAGCTGACCAAGAACAAATGACACATTGTACTTTTCCATAAAATATGTCAAAGACTTCGTTTAAAGCTGCCTGAATAAATGTTTTTTGTTTTATGTACATAACGTTCCATTGGATAAGTCGCTCTTCTACTCTAGCATATTGAAAACTTTGTATTCCTTTCGTATTCTTATCTTTTTTTTCTTTACTGAGGAAAAGTAAAAAGTTATTTAAAATTTTCTTGTGTTATCTATACAAGCATAAGATGATTGTATGAATCATATAATAGAAATCACTTCAAAATCGATCATTGGAACGCAATCTTTGACCTAAATCAATTAGAACATAAGTCACAATGGATACAAAAGCATAAGAATCGATCATGAAGTGAGACACCAATATACACTTGTAGCATCCACGTGAGAATATCTCGACATTAAAAGGTTATTTTTGGTTGTATCACTTAGTATTTGCTCGAGCCGTCAGCACATCATCATTTATTTCTTGTTCTCACATTATAGATTCATGCTATCATAAGATGTCATGTTGATATATATATTGCAATCATCGTTGTGGATAAAAAACAGAAAAAAATCCAATTTAGCCGATTGGGATCAGAGGAAACAAACTATCACCAATACACTCTCTTATCAACCGTTTGGTCTCCGTTCAGAACGCTGTCTTTCGTCTCATCAATATACAAAGGAGCAAGTGTCACCCCAAGCTTACACTTGTTATTATCGTTCTATTACATCAATGATGTTCTCTTTCTTTTTCTCATTCTCATTCCTAAATATTGTGAATGTACTTCGTCATCTTACGCAGTTCTGCTTATTCACGAGAAAATATGAATGAGAAAAACAATACAAGTGGCATACAAATTCACTGTGCAGAAACGTGATTTAAATACTTATTCGGCTTATCGACTCGTGCGGATTCTGTTGAAGGGAAGTGAAAAAAAACGATGTTGACTTATGATGGATTATCTTCAGTGCATAATACAGAAATTTCATGGTCTCGTTCTCTTCGTTTCTGGCTTCTACTTCTTTTTGATATTCCGGCAATTGTCTGTTCTCTTTTTCTTCTGTATCACTTATTGACGGATCGATCGCTACGACAATCTTTAGCAAATCACAGTATTATTGCTTTACTTATCTCGGCATTCATCTGTCAAATAATCGATATTCCTTTGTATCTTGATTTTATTCGACGAGGTACGGTATGGCCACAAAAACCAGCTATATGTCTAATGTGGTGGTTGGTAGATCTTGGTTTCTATAATTTTAATTCTGTACTTGTCGCTTGGACTTCAATTGAACGACACATTCTCATATTTCATGGCCAATGGCTATCAACTTTCAAGAGACGTCTACTTATTCATTATTTTCCAATGACTGTACTCATTCTCTATTTGATTCTCTATTATATCCTAATGATTTTCTTTCCACCTTGCCAACATATATTTGTTTATTCATTACCCGTTTGTAGTTCATATCCTTGTCATCTTTCTCATCCTGTATTTGGTTTATGGGATATGATGGTTCATGGATGTATGTCTACATTATTAATTGTTATCTTTAACATTGCTCTTATATTTCGTGTCCTCATACAGAAACGACGTGTAGGTCAAACTATTCAATGGCGTCGACATTGGAGAATGAGTATTCCTTTGTTATCGATTTCTGCTCTCTATCTTCTTTTCAATTTTCCTGTCATGGCTATGGTCATTGCTCATCATTATGGTTGGCCAGCAGATTCAGGTGTCGAAGCACAGCTTATCGCGTTTTTTCTAGCCTACTGGGTAATATTTCTTTTACCTTTTATATGTTTGTATTCGTTACCAAAATTACAATATAAATTACGCATAATTGTTGGTATCAAACATCAGACAAGTATTGGAAGAAGAATATAAATTGTTCCTATTCGAAAACGGTGACATTGTTATTCTTTCTTCTACGGCAAACAAAATTTCCATCGTTCTCTATTGATTTTGTTTATCTCATTTACGTGATTCTCAATCGAACTGATGTGAAGTCGAAGAAGTATGTATATGTCCATTCAATAAAAGAATATTTGATCACAGAAATATTGCTTACTAGTCTAGAAAACGTGTTGCATTGTGTCTTAATACCCGTATTCTTGATGTTTACTATTCGATGAAATGAGGAAAAAGAATATTGATATGTCATTCGAAATAATGAAATGCATGACAGGAGTCGATACGGATTTGAACAAAACCCAGGTTGAACGGTGTTAGAGTGTGGAAATGATAGTAACTGTGAGATTATTAAAACAAATCGAATTGAAACAAAAAGCGCAGTTCAGACTTAAAAAAAGTTAAATTAAACGTTTTTTTTCCTTTGTTAACAATAGATGACCGCATTATCTTGAAAGAATTGAAATTAATTTCAAAGTTAATTATGACAATGATAGTTGTTAGAATAGTTGAGTCACAATTCCATTTTCAATGAAAGAAACAATCAAGTGATAAACAATGTCTTGATTATTTGATGACCATATTTTATGTTCAGTCATTGAAGATAACAATGAAGTAGCTGCTGTCGTAGCATTTGTAGTGTTCAAAAAACACATAATTCTCAAGATCAATTTTCTAATTCATACATGAACCAAAACTGAACAAAGATAGTATGCCAAGATAAAATGTTGATAACAATGATGGGAAATGTACATGACAACTAGAATATACATAAAAATTAAAGTTTTATAATGGATTTGATGCACTATTACTGGAGCCCAAAATCGGCGGCTAAAATGTCGACATTGTGTTGGTACTATAGACCAAATTAGAACTAGAAAATAAATTGAACAATTTGAATTCGATCATGGCTTTGTCATCTGCTGATATTTTTATTGGAGTTTTTCTTAGGATCATGTTAATGTTAGCATGTTTGTAAAATGGATCTGTACATGTTTTAATGCCAATAAAAACCGTGCAAAGGCAGAGAATACTAAGCATCAATAAAATATCAATTGCTCGTTTTTTGTTGTCGTCCTTTATAATTCATTGGAACCTTGTTTGTTGGCCATTGTTGGTTACAATTTCAAGAATCCGATCAATTCTAGTTAGTCCAAGTCGAACTGTTTCTTCATGTTTTTCAGAATTCGACAGCTATTGAATGGTCGAATTGATCTCTTCTGACCACTGTATAAAACAAGAGGCGATTATTTACACAGACACGAGGAACAGCTGTTGGAATAGATTGAAATTCGGGTGACATCAATGATAAATATTTCATTTAACTTAGGCATTCATAATGCATAGTTAGAGAACTTTTAGAAGTTGTTCAACAAAATGAATATCAACATCTGCTCCTGAAGGAATAAATATGAACCGATCGTTGGTCAAACGAGCAAAAGAAAATCCTTGATGATGCCAACATTGATCTATAAGCTTCGATAACATTTGATATTTCTCCGTCAATCAGTAATAATATCTGTTGTGAATAACCAACGGTATGCAACTGTTTTTGTAACCATAGCAATGATCTTATCAATTCAGCGTCACCGAGATCAATGGACATGTTTGAAATCAGTGTCTCAACTTGTGCTGCACTTTGTTCATTATATTTACTAATAACATTATTAAATAATGTTTTATTATTTAGAAACAAATCGAATAATTTTGAATTGACATTCCACTGGCAAAGTCTTGAGAAATAAAACCATTGTTTGACGAGTAAGACCAGTTTTATTTTCAGCTCTAATCGAACTACTAAAATCAACAATAAAAATAAATCCATCATTTGCATTGTTTTTATATTCTGGTTTATGTTGATTTCTTTTCTAGAATGAACGATAGGATCAAGACTAATTGATGTTCGCCACTTTTCAATAACTAAATAGAATTTTCATACTGCTTTTGATCTAATGGTATACGGTTTTTATGTAGTTTATCGATTAGACCTCGAAAATCGATTGTATAAGGTATTGATTCAATATATTTCGTTAAAAATCTTATCGTCGTTAACGAGATTCATTTCGGTAACGTACATAATTTGGACTTGAATTTATTTCTCAGAAAAAAAGAGCTCTAACATTGAGGATAAATGTGTCTTGAAAACTTTTTGTCTTGTTCTATGTAATAATCACCATAACCTTGCTGCAAAGCTTATGTATATCCATGTGATGTTTGAGTTTTTTCTTTCTATCGAGCGCAATTTTCTCGATCATCAATTTTTGCTACAAATATATAGATTGCACCATGGTGTAGGCGCAGTTGTGTCTATCTGTCTTGACTCCACTAACACCCTCCGATAAGAAGATAAGCCTGAGTTCCGTACATTCTAAACTGTGAACATGATGCCGAAACTCTCTAAATTATACCTTTCAAACATTCAGATGCAGAGATTTAAAGTGTAGAATTTTCTTTTTTTCGTAAGCCATTTTGGTAATGGTATATTTGAAAAGTTTCGTGCAGTTCATATACTCTTGGCAATTATGTATTGTACATAGTATTTTCCTGAAAACTTAAAGCATTGATTACTCTACCTTTTTTACAGACTATGTTATTCATTTTTACAACATTCTATCTGAATAGGATGCATCAGTCTTGTACTTGACAGTATCTTAAGAGCTTATTCTTACGCTGAAATAATGTTCGAGAGAATAAAAAATAAACGCAAACCATCACTGTGGTATTTTTTTCATCTCTCGCACATTGAAAATAACATGTACTTCATTTTAAAAGAACCATTTGCTTTATTTCTTATCATACTTTTATTTTTTCTCTATGTCATCGTCAATTCAAAATGACAAAGTCCGTCTAAAAAAATATCGAACCATTCTTTTCTATTTACTACAAGTCAATATTGATCTTAATATCACATTTTTTGTCGTTACTTCTTCATCTACCTAACTCGAATCCAACTTCATTAATTGATGGATCCAAACTGCGAAGAATCAGACACAGATGCATTCGTATCGTTTTATCGAAATTCACTCTGTAATTTGCAAACAACTAATAATCAGTTCTTAGAAAAAATTCTTCGAAAGAATCATTCATGCACATTCTTCACGGATCGATCGATTTCATTCTTGTCGATGCATCATACTGCTTCTGGAGACGAAGGATATGCATCAATCAATGAGTTTCGAGAGAAAGTTCCATTGACGACCTACGAAGACTATCGTGCTTATATCGATCGAATGGTTTTCGATGGTGAAAGGAATTTGCTCTCGTCCGAAAATATTGTCTACTTTTCTACAAGTTCTGGAACAACTGGGAAGATGAAGCTCCTTCCTCTGGTTGCAGAAACAATGAAAAAAATTGGCGAGTCGACACGTATTGGAACTGCTATAACTCGAAGATCTTTTCCTCCTTCATCATTGCCTGTTCCTGAACAGCGAACATTCAACTTGCTAAGTGGCAAGAAAACCGAAATGTTTCAACGATCAAAAGATGGAATACCAATTGGTCCACTTAGCCAATCTTTTTCTGCATTTTCATCCATTCCACGGAATCGCTCGTTATTCTCTACTAATAATACCGTGACATTGGATATGATTGAAGAAATCCCAGATTTTGAGACAAGTGTATTCGTTCAACTCGTTTTTGCACTGGCGACTTCGAATATTTACTCATATTCAACTGCGTTGCCTCCAGTATTCATTCACACTGTCAAAATGATCGAAAATTATTTTGAAGAGATGAGTCTTTGCATCTCATATGCTAATTTCGCTCATAGTTCACTTGTTCAGAACAATATTTCTGATTCAGAATTCATAGCAAGCTTAAATCGAACATTGAACGAAGCGACTGTCAAGTATGGTGGTGAGGTCTATCGATTAGAACGAGCTAAACATATCAGAAACGAATGTCTTAAAAAGGATGCTGCCGGTATTCTTCATCGACTTTGGCCAAATTTGATCTATGCCTCGGCCGCAATAGGCAGTACATTTTCTATGTACAAAAAAGAAGTTCAGTTTTATTGTGGAGAACGATTACCTTTAATTAACATGGGAGTATACATAAGCAGTGAAGGACCCCTTGGAGTTCTCGCAAGCATTCACACCGACGAGTACTTTCTATTACCAACATGTGTATTCTTCGAATTCATCAAAGAAGAAGATGTTGAACAAGTAAGATGCCCTTCTTAATAAGAACAAGCCAAAAAAAAAGAATTTCAGGGATGGATGTGAGTGTGGAATGTGGATGTCAATGACATACAAGGAAAGATATACATTCACACTCTATATATGGAACGAACTTGTAGATATGAGTAGAAACCAAAGTATTCAAAACATTTGAAGTACTCTCTCAGTTTTACTTAACTTTTATTTAGAAAAAAAAACGTAAATTGTCATGTATAGTGAAATTCGTTCTTGCGAACCATGTGTACAAGATCGAAATACAAAAATTTTAGTTGAAATTCGAATGACAAACGTCTGGTGATGTTTCTGTTTTAGGCTCAACCAAAAACTCTTCTCATATCAGAGATCGAACCTGGGCATCGATATGAGTTGGTTTGTACCACTGAGGCCGGGTTGGTTCGATATAGAATGGGAGATATTATCAATTGCACGAGATTTCTCTGTCGAACTGATGATTTAGTTCCATTACCAACCGAACCAATAGAGATACCTCGAATTCCTCTTGTTTCAATTGCATATCGTGTTGGAAGTCTTTTGAATGCGTTTGGTGAGAAAACAAACGAACAACATGTGATGAATGCTCTCCAAGCAGCAGTTCGTCAATGGAAACAACAAGAAATATCTGTTGACATTTGTGATTTTACGTCGTATCCGAAGTTAGACGTTTTTCCACCCAAATATGTCATCTTTCTGGAGTTAACCGAGAATGAAGAACGTAAAATTGATGCGCAACAACTTCGATTTCTTCAAAATACGGTCAGTTCAGAAGTCGAACAACAACTTTGCAAGGCAAACGAATATTATAAAGATTACCGAAGCACATCAAAACTTGATCCTGTTACTTGTATTCTTGTTCAAAAAGGAACATTCTCAACTTTCATGCGTAAGATCTTATTGACCGAGCGTGTGAGTCCGACACAAGTCAAACCACATCGGTTGTTAAAGAATGAACATCACATTCAATTCTTTTATGACAATCAAATTGACACATCTGCATCCTAATTGACAGCAATGACAAGCGAGCAAATTCTTCAATGACATTTGATTTTTGTTAGTTTTTTCTTATAATTTGAATAATATTTTCTTTTTAGATAATATACACTTTTCTTTCATTTTTTCACGGCGATGAAAGAATGATCTACAATGTCAACAAACTTTTGATTAGGGTAAATGAGTCATTTAGCATTTGGGCCAAGTGTTATAAACTTCTCGATTTAGAGTTTGATTGTTGCTCTTCTCTTTATCGACGTTCACACACTCAGACTTACCATAATCACATCCACTTCCTTAGGAAATGTACAGTTGGCTCGTTACTCGTGTTTTTCTTTAATGATTTTTTTCTACCTTGAATTGTTTTCTAGTTGCATTAGATGAAACACTAAAATTTATGTCCCTTTGTATTGTTTGCACGTCCATCAAAAATTATTTGGAGCTCGCCCGATGCATTGAACTTTACACTCACCATAATCTTAGATGTTTGATCTACTTTTATTTGCTAATGATAATCTCTGCATTGGCACTGTAAAAAAGTGCGTAGTAATAAACCAATAGGCTTTATTACCTCGATTACAAATACCTGATACGTTTATGAGCCAAAAAAATGGTGAAAATGAAGATATATTAATCAACCGCGAACAACTCATTAATACATATACTAAGATTTGTCATCAGTTTAAGGGTGTGGGTGGATGTAGGCGTGGGTATGAATCTTTTCTTCATTGATACTCACACCCACCCAGACGCACACCCCAAGAGATGTCATTATAAATTTTTCCCATGTTAGACAAAATCGATTTCAATTTTTTTTAAACTGTCACATAGAAATATTTAAGCGGTGATAACTTTTTGATTGCGTGAGTGACTAATAATCTTTATACATACGGAACTACTTGGTTTTGTTAACAACAAATAACTAATACGATATGAAGAAACATTTCTAGATATATAGATAAGTATTTAATGCATCTTATTTAAATCGTCTTTAATTTTCAAGTACAAATATGAATAAAAGCAAACGAAAATTAAGTTGCAATGATTCTTATAATCAAGAAATAAATCAATTAGAAAGTATTGATGAGAGAAGATAAGTTTTACAAAAAGAAAGAGAAGAATATTCTATTGATATTCGATAGACGTGTTCCATGAGAAAGTTGGTACAGGCTATCTTAAGAACTGCTGAACATATCGAGCTGTCCCCTGGAACTTAAGGGTTTCTCGACGTGCTCTTTCTTTTATGTATCGAGGGTGTGGGTGTGGATGTGTGTGTGTATGTGGTCTCAGTTCTTCTCACACCCACACTCACACACCCTCATCATAAAATATACAAAAAAAATACATTTTCGTTGTTTAAACAATGTTTGCTTTTTATTAATATCATGAACATATTGAGAAAGACTTTAGTGTTTATGCTTACTAATTCAAAAAAATTTCCGTTTCGACTTTTTTAAAAATTTTGTATATCTTCTTTTCAATGCCTATCGTCTTCATAAAAATATATTGAATTCTATCTTTCTACATACGAAGCACGTATTATAAACAAAATGAACTGAAAAGAAACGTATGAGAGAATGAATTATATTTTTGATAAGACATACAGAAAAAAGAAGACATACAACAATAGAAAGAGAAATTCATATATTATCACAGATATGTTCTAATCATTTTATGACTGTGAAAAATTTTATTGATACAGTTAATATTGAACATCAAGACTCGTATCGAATACTTGACATAAGCACTAGAATCTTTTTTTTCTTATAACAGTCAAAAATAAGAATTTTCTTGCATATAGATTATATTTCAGTGGTTTTATTTTTTTTTTCATTTGATCAATGTCTAGTACATGAAATTAGTTTTTATTTTTATTGTAAAGGTATGTAATTGTGTCAAAATTTTAAATTCAATCAGATAATCGAACTTTATTATTATTATATGTCTATTGAAGGAAATTGAGAAACTATTGACAGAACGAATAGGTCAATTTTTTTTTAAAGATTTTACAGCAATGCATTGCGTTAAGAATTCAAAAACAAAAAGAGAAATTATAAATTTTTACAAAACATGACGAAATTAAGAAAAAAAAATTATGAATAATAAATGTCATCTATGTATAGATTCAATATACTTGCAGAATTGTTACTAAATATAAGTTTATTCTATCACATTAAAAATTTCGATGAACGATTTTCATACGAGAGTGAAAAAAAATTTTCTCATTTTTTATTAATCATTCATTGAGAAAAATTAACTTTTCCTTTTAATTTTTCTTAAATTGCCTGTATGAACGTTCTGAAGATTACTCATAGTGAATAACTGATAATTCAGTTTAAGGGCAAAGAAAATTTCGTCAATGTTAAACAGTAATAGTCTTTTTTGTCTATTGAGACGAATATTGATAAGTATTGCGATGAATGATTATATAAAAACTTCACCTATAAAGTAAAAATTAAAAAAAAATAGTCATAATCTACCATTGCAATGTATATTATGATTATAACAATGAATTTAACAAAAAAAAAGAACTCTGATGCGATGCGTATTTTTTCTTTAGTTTGTACCTATACACTATCAAAATAAATCATCGAATGGATATTAAAATATTTAGATATAGGCCTCTCTTCCCTCTAAAAACGAAAGACAAAATTTAAAAACTCAACTTTCTTTTTTTTTTTTACAGACTCTTAAAGAAAACATCTAAGTAATGTCCAAATTATTATTCATCGGATAAACAAAAGAAAATGTTAAGTTCTATCAGAGTCTGCAATTGTTTTTTGTTTTTTATTTCCATATTAATTTTCTTTTAAGAAAAAAAAGAAGGTATAATGATTTTCGGTGGTTACCAATTTAGAGTTTGTAAACTATAGTCGAATTATTTTTCTGTATTTTTTGAATGTGTGTTTATATTAATCATAAGTTTTTTTTTCTTTATGTGTCTATCAAAAATGATAAAAACAGATGACATATAACTTCGTTCAGTTTGAATCGAGATTCATTTAAAAAAAAAACAATAGTTCATATTTTTTTGAGTATAATCCTTGTCCCTATTAATTAATGAGCATTGTTTTTTTTTGAAGCCTTTAAAATATTTTTGTACCGAAGTTGATGAACGAATGAACTCTTGAATATATGTTTTTTTACATCTTTTTAGATTTCACAATCACAAACTATATGAATCATCAATCAAAATTTCTCAACATCAGTCATTGGAAATTTCATATGTACAAATGAATGAAATAAAATTATTTCAATTTGTAAGTAGCTTGATTTTAAATGGAATAGATATCAATCCTAATGAAAAAGTGTATATAGAAGAATAAAAATAATTTACTTTACACATAACTTTTCATTTTGAGAATGAGTTTTTTTTTTAAATTAAACTTTCCTGTCTACGTAATTTAAAAACGATTAATAGTATCTCAATTAGTTTAATGTTCATCAAATGTGATTCTCTACATAGAGTATTTTATAACAAGAACGAGAATTCTCTACCTTGTTTCCATTTAAGATTATTCTTTCAAATCATTCATTGTAATTATTATGAACATCGAAAGTTTTTTTTTCGTACCAAAAGAGAATCAACAAAGAATTTTGTTTTTTTTTCTCTCGTTCGTTCGATATATCGAGCTAGAGAAAACTTTTTTTAAAGTATTACTATTAAACTGAACGAAAAAAAAAATATTTTATTTTTTTAAATCAAAACCAATGTATAATGAAGAAGAATTGGTTGATTAAGATTCAAACGATTGTTTGATTAAAATTCGTTGTTCATTTATATATTTTTCTTTCCCTTCTACCATGATCTATATGTATATTTCTTCTATACTTTTAGTCATATTCATCTACTATCAATCAATATAAACCACTATGAAACGAAACAAAAAATGAATATGAATGAATCGTGTGCTGTAAGTACAAGATTATCTAATGCTTTACATTTAGTCTCAATAAAATTGAATCTTTTTCATCGGACATCGTCCTTTTCTATCTGCAATTTTTTTTTGAGAACAATAGAAGAATTTAAAAATTATTCTCTCTAGATTTATCTTTGTAAGGTATGAGTGTAAATGCTGTAAGAGTGTCGATTTGTATAGAAATTATTCTCGTATAATAATGATTTATCTCTTTGAGATATAGAATCGATTACAGTGTCTAGTCAACAAATGATTTAATCATATTTAAGATCATACATTTTGCTATTTATAAAGATTCATAGCTTATTTATTATTCATAATGTAGAAGTGTTTATTTTTTCTGAATGATTCACCCTTAACTATATGATCTTCAAACGAGTCTTCTACTTTTATTTAATCTATTAGAACATGTAAACATATGAAACAGTAAAAAAAATTATTATTTTGATTGAATAATGTAGCTAATTAGTTTTCAGCTTGAACACATAAGATATTTCGAAGTTACGATTAATATTACAAACAGCAAAAGAGGTTTCATTTTGAATAAAAATAAAATTCAATAGTTGAGATCATTTCATCGAAATCTTGGTAATTAATTTCTTTTTTCAAACAAAAATTTCTTTCGAGAATAATATATATCTTTACACTTAACTTCTCAGTATTTGTTTATTATTGATATTGATTAAAATAATGTATCCTATCAGTAGAAATATGAATGCTAAATATTCGTTTAGAATAGGATTATGTTTTTTTCTTTTGATAATCTTTCAAAAGCAAGTAGTTTTATATTAGAGATTTAATATATCACTTCCTCTTCATTTCACATAATTAGAACCACGAAAGACAATATATATGAACTTCTTTTTCAATTCGAGTAAACATAATTGAAAAATAGAAGACGATATAAATTATCTGAAACACTTCACATTCGTAAATCGTTGCATTCAAACTTCACATACTTTCAATTTATTATCATATAATTAAGAGACAAAAAAAAATACTTATCAAATTGTTTTTATTAGTATGCTTAACTATAAAAGAGTAACATAAGTGTAAATCAACACACTCTTGAAACATTTTTCATCGAAAAAAGAAAAGTATTTTGAATGAGAACAAAAACTATTTTGTAAAAAAACAAAAAGAAAACTTCATGTATAGACAACGGCGCAAATTACTGCTTAGGAATGCACGTTATTCGAAGAAATAACTGAAATTAATCATTGAAACGATAAAATATTAGAGCCGACGAAAGAAATATGATAATAAAATATTGAACGAATCTTCATATATCATTCAGAAGAACAAAAAAAAAAACTAAACAGTTGCTATTCTTAATACAAGTAACCTATCCGTCAGTTTAAATGCATTATTATACTAGTGAAGAAGAACAACAACCAAAAGTAAGTGGTATAGAAAAGAGTTCATCTTTCTGGTTGTATCCGATTCTCTTTTTATTTGATCGAAGCACATAAAAATCTTAATCAATTATAAAAGATTGTTTGTTAATGTAGAAATGTGTACTTCATTCGTCTCAATTATACTAACATTTATGAACTTATTCAATTGATTTCTCATAGAATTTCAAACAAAGTAAAAATCAATATTCTCGACATAATCGAGGATATTATTGAGAAGAGTTAGTCTCTCTTTTCAAAAGAAATCATACATAAAAAAAATGAAGCAAAAGTAGTAAATTACATCAAGATTGCAGTAGAATCACTAATGATATGTCAGAGAGATAAGCAAACAATGTCTAAGTAACAAAAAAAAAATTTTTTTTTTCTATCGTATTATTCATTTCGTTGCAAATGGTTTATGAAATACTGCACAGAACTAAAAATAAACATGTACTAGTCACACAATCGGACTGCATTGTGAAACATAAGTTATTAATGTTCGATTTATTTAAATTACTTGTTGAAGTTCATAAGATCCCATTGTAATTAGAAATACATGTTAGAAAAACTCGACTAGTTATACATGTATTTTTCTATTTGATTTATTTGTTCGATTTCATTGTCGACCTACTTTTCTTAGATTTTAAGTAATTAAAGTTCTTTTTTTTTGAACTCTTTAATGCACGAATACTGTATTTCTTGTAGTATTGTTTATTTCCATATTACTTTCATATGAAGTCTGAATTACGAAAAAAATTATTCTCTGTAAATTAAATTTTAGAAAATAATGTATATGGTTTACGACAAGAACTCGACTTCGAAGGCTGTACGAAAAGAATCAACTATAAATTCAACAACAGCAAAGGCAATGAATACAGTACTAAAAATTCAATCTTCACCAAAAAAACACTGTTTTGATGATGGAAATACATCAACAAAAAAACGACAGAAGACACGAATTGAAGAAAGATCAACAACAGAATCACATACAAGTACGTCAAGGTCAAAAAATGCATCTTTAAATAAAGATGTTATTTCAACTAATAAGAAGCTAATATGGAATGATCAATGGTAAGTAGATAATTTCATAGATCTATGCGCTGATTTTTTTTTATCAATAAACTCTAGGTTAACATTTAATGAAACACCAAAACTAGAAGAAATAAAAATAGATGCTCGTTCAAGTTTGAAGTGGTGTTCAAATTTTATATCAAAAACAGAAGGTGATGCTCTATTTGATCATTTAATGGAAAGTATGTTATAGAATATATTTAAAAATAATAACTCTATCAACACTAATTTTAATCTATTTTTTAGTATTAAATTTTGAACATACATTAATTCGTCGATATGGAAAATTGGTGAACATGGTAAGTAAATGAAAAGCATAAAAAATGCATAGAAAAAGTTTTTAATTGTTAATCACTGAACTTTCTATTATTGTTATATTTAAATATTAGCCTCGTCTGCAATCGTGGTTTGCTGATGAAGGTATGGTAGTGAGAGAACTATTTCAGAAACAGAAACAACATGTTTGGACTCCTCCAATGCTGAAGGTGAAGGCTCAACTTGAAAAACAACTCGGTAAGTACACATTTAAAATGAACTTCAATCATTCGAAGAAATATCATTATATAATATTGTTTTTTTTTTTTGTTTTTTTACAGATGTCAAGTTCGATTTCTGCTTGGTTAATTTATATAGGGATGGAAAAGATTATATTGGTTTTCATACTGACAATGAAACACGTGATACAATTGCTTCACTAACGTTGGGAACTACACGCAGGTTTAATTATTCTTAATTTAGTTACTGATAGCCATGTTATTAATTAATATCATTTTTAGATTTCTTCTGCGACATATCAGTTGTACTAATAGAACCAGAACCATGACACGAAGAAGAACACCATTAACAACACCCGAGAAAAAAAAGGGAAATATATAGTTTTATATTTTCTTTTTAAATTTCAATCTGTTAAAATTCGATTTTTATTTTTTAGTATGAATTTGAATTATCAAATGGATCACTTATTGTGATGTTGGGAGAAACACAACTGCATTGGAAACACTCGATACCAAAAGAGAGGCGAATAACAACTCCTCGTCTTAATCTTACGTTTCGCATTAAGCGAGACAAATAAACATTGACAAAAAAAAATTTTAGCAATTATTTTTTCGAACAATATTATACTTATTTTTTTTTTTGTAATTTAATAAAAAAAAAATATGTTTGTCTTTGTAGACAAAATTTCAGTGCTCAGTACATTAAAATTATTTTTCTGAAAATCTATATAAAGTCATTATTAGATGTTATCAATGATCGAAATATAATTCATAAGTTGGATTTATTATATTGTTCACTGAGTATAGAAAAAAAAATCGAGCATTAAATATATAATTTATCAATGATGTACCAGTTGATACACAGTTTTTTGTAAAAGCAGAACTTTGTATTTTTATAATATTTACTGATTTCTTTAAATGTGTGTTGTTAAGAAAATATAGCCGTATTTTTCGTGATAAATATTTATAATAAAAAAAAACTCTATATAAACTAAATATAATCAAAGAACTGATAATCAATTGTTAAAGCAATGTTTGAGATAATCATTTTAAATTAGACTAAAATTCTAACAAAAAAAAAATATTCATTCGCAACTTTTACTTCTTGTTTCTCATGAATATTGAAAAATACCATAGCCTCAAGTGTTGTGTACAATTAGACACATTAACCGGCTCTAAATACCTTACTATTACAGAGTTACTGAATTAAAGAAATTTTTTTTCATAGTCATCAAAAGGAAATTTTTTTCTTTTCCTTAGCGTATCGTAAAACCACAATTTTCTCAATCGTGGTTGCTTACGACCCCCTTCTAACTTTGTTCGATCGGGCTGAAATTTTTACCACTGATACTTGGAAGTGTTCTCCAGAGGTAATATGGAGCGTTTTCATTTTTGACATTCCTGCCCAGATTTACAGGGTCCTGAAGACTAAGACCTGAGCTTTGATTCCGAACATTGGTGTATTTCTCTTATAAAAAAAAAGAAAGTGAGATTTTTGAAAAAGCTTAAATTTACCTCTGAGAAATAGTCTTAAGAACCTCAAAAAAAATTTTCAGTCCAATCGGATAAAGTTTCAGGGTGCGGGCCTCTGGAAAACCAGAATTTTCCAGAAAACTTCGCAAAAATTGACTTCAAAGCTTTTTTCCTCGAACACGTATCTCGTTATTTTTGATGATCTATCTGTGCTGAAAATTTCAGCTTGATCGCTTGTATCGTCTTCGAGAACCAGAAACGATCAAAAAAGAGGAGGGGGGGGGGTACCCTTAAGAAAAATATCTCATATTAATAAGTTGCCATTCAAATGACATACAAAGCATTAAAAAAGAGAATTAAATATAAATACATTGGAAAGAATAAATGAAAATGATGTAAAAAGAATATTATACGACGTAAAAGAATAAATAAATAGATTAAACATGAGGGAAAATAAATTACATTTTAACGTATTTAAAAAGTTCATTAATTTTCACATATTGATTGTTTTAGCTCTTGAAATCTTCCATCATGATGATAAAGGTATTCGTCAGTAGAAGATATTAACTCATCTGTATCCAAATCTTCATGTAAGGTGTTCAAAGTCATCGAAAGTTTTGATTTGTTTTTCATATCATAAAAGAATTCAATATTTTAAATATATAATTTTCATCATTTTCTAATTGTTAGAATTAAAAATTAAGATTAGTACAATGTTAACGGAAATAAATGTGACATTATATTAGCTATCTATAGATAAATATTTTATTCTTTGTAATATGACCTAAATAATTTCAAGTGTAGTATAATAATCAAAATTATGAATAATTAGAGATGACATACATAATCAAAACAAATATAACATGAGAATGATATCTTTTAAAATAGAAAAGAACTGAATAAAAAGTATTATCTAAATCTAGAACACTTGTATGATCTATATAAGAGGACAGCTTATGATAGAAAAAATAAAATACTAACGAGTTTGACATCAAAGAAAAAAAAATTATAATATTCAATAAGTTATTAAATAGATTACAACAATCGATAGAAGTATTATAAAATGAATATTCATGAAAATTGTAAACAATGGCGACACAATAATACTTTAATAAAAAATACTGATTAGAATCAAGTTAAACAACGATTTCAGATGTTAAGAGTGAAAAACAATAGACAAATGAAAAAAAAATATTAACATTGGTATAAGGTGTACGCAATTTACTTCATGTGTGTATTCAGAAATTATTTTTACTCCTTCAATTTTGTATTACTTTTCTATGCGCTATGATTAATACTGTTCATAATTGGTTTAATAAGACTGAGGATGCGAACAGTTTCATCGTAGTGGAAGTCGTATTAATTTGTTCAATGGTTTATAGAAAATACTAGAAGTCATCGTATATAAATAATAAGTTAGTGCTTATTTTGTAAAAATAAGCAGTCAATCTTTTTGATCGTCAATTGTGCAATTAATTTAATGTTACAATATTGTAAAACCACCGACACCGACAGATCCTTGGAATAATTGTAGTAAAAAATACAACAATTGGAACAATTAAAAGATATAAAACTTGTCAATCACGTTTTCGTTTGTGTTCTATCCTATCTTTATTGATTCCTCTTTGTTGAAGAATTATAAACTGATGTAGTTTTTTGTTTATAAGAACAAAATTATGATAAGTTAGAAATGCACAATTAATCATAATTGATGCTGAAAGAATACATTCAATAGTAAGCGAAAATACACTATGATAGTACAATACGGAAATATCATTAGAGGGATCCTTTGGATTTAGATTATCTGTATTTTAAATAAGCTTATAAGTCAGACCATCCAGACACCTACAATTTTCACAATTGTGTACAACAAGTCATATGCATTTTATCAAAGTTTTCTAAGCATGTGAGTATGAGTTTGGGTGTTTTCTTCATCCATATTCTCCTGTTTGAAGATATCTCTACTGTCATCAAATGAATAATCAGAATGATGGATAGCTTGATGAAGAGAAGAAGAAAAAGAATAATTCACATACGTATATAGATACTAGATAATATACATATAGCAGGTTTCGCAGCGGCCTATGCCACGAAAGCAGGAAAACAGGCAGGACGACTTTGAAGGAAAAAGCAGGAATTTTAGTAAAAATCAGGACATTTTTAAACCTGTTTTGACATAAATTTGTAGAACTAAATCTACATAAAAATGAACGATGTGATGATAATTAATTGAAATTACAACATATGTCGTTTCGATAAATGGCAAAATTAGTCGACGAATAATAAATTTTACAAGAACCTGATTTTTTCCTCATGCGTGCACTATTAATTCTTTTTTCCTTCTTTTCGTTCTCTCTCTTTCTCTTACTTTTTTAGTCTAGTGTGGACTCCTCCCCATATATAAGAATAACATAACGTTATAAACATTTATTTCTGAAAAATATGTCCCTTCACTTAAACTTTTAAAATACCGAAAAAAAACAGAATTTTGTTCAGAACGGTTGCTTAGATTGGATAACATCAATAGATTTTATTCTTGGCGGCTATCAAAAGGCAAAAAAGCTAATACATTCCGATGTAACGTGTGTAATACCGATGATTTTAGTTGTACTAATGGTGCCAGGACTGATATAAAAAGACATTTCACTCGTCCGGAACATACACGATGTATGAAGGATGTAACGGGTGTGGCAGAATAAATGACCGATTAGTATTTTATTGATATTTCGATAAATTTTAATTTTTCAGGCTTTATTATTTTTTCCAAAAAATTCGCCGCAGAATTCTGCACAAGCTAGTATAACTTAATTAACTAATCGATTTTTCTTTCTAGAGCACAACTGTTTTCAACAACGAGATTTGAATAACTTTCTAAATCTGGATATTTTTCAAAGAAAGTTTTTCATTCTTTAATCATTACGACTTGCTTTTTGGCATATCTACGGCTCATTTTAGTGATAAATCCATTCAAGATAATAACTGGTAGCACACTACTTGCATTGATAATCTTCATACATGTCATAAACCAAGTCACAAAGACTGAAGAATGAAAACACTTTCTTTGAAAAACTTCAGATTTAGAAAGTTGTTCAAATCTCCTTGTTGAAAACAGTTGTGCTCTAGAAATAAAGAAAAATCTATTAGTTAATTAAGTCACACTATCTTGTGCAGAATTCTATGGCGAATCTTTTTGAAAAAAGTAATAAGGCCTGAAAATTAAAATTTATCAAAATATCAATAAAATACTAACCGACTATTTATTCTACCGCACTCGTTATTTGGTTCAGTTTCACTTGTTACGTCTGGTCATTCATCATCATTTACACCTAATAATACGAATGAGGGTGTGGGTGTGTGCATGATGAGAGTACCCACACCCTTTTTTCTATTTTTGAAAATATTGTATAAGTATTATTATATAAATTTGAAATACAGATTTAGTAAAGCAAAAGAATGTATAATTGTTGTGTCAAATTCAGTACTATAGAAATAAATTGTAAGAAAATCAGGATTTTTAGTCAAAAACAGGAAAAGCAGGCGACTTTTAAAAAATCAGGAAAAAATCAGAAAAGTAGTGTCACTGTGAAGCATGATATAGAGAAAGAGATAGATATTAGGAAACGACAGATATTCAAACTCACACTATTTTTTTGAATTTTTTTCTTCTTCTGTCAATTGAACAACTGAAAATTATTGAAAAGTACTTCATTGTTACTTTCATGTAAAACGAAGAGAAATTATGACACTCTTCTTTTTGTATTCTAGT